AGACGGCCAATCGGAACGTTCGAACCAAACAGGCGAAATCTGGCTACGCCACTGGCAGAATATCCACCAGGAAGCGGATTGGGACGAAGGTCTCGCGCCAATGCAAGCCTCACTGAATGCCTCAGTCAATGTATCCACTGGCGACTCACCACACAAGCTTATTTTCGGTGTCGATCTACGTATGCCGTGGAATCTCCTCCGTCAGGCTTTCGTCGGATCTCCCCAAGCGAGCCGACAGGACGCCGACGAATGTGCCAAGTACGCGGCTATGCTATGGTGATGAAGAAGCAATACGATAGCCGTCACAAGCCTGTCTTTTTCCAGAAGAATGACTTCGTATACTTACGTCTTGCGCAAGGGACTGAGCCGGGTTATATATGGCCATCGCGCAACATCACAAGGAAACTTACCCAGCGACATATCAAGTGCCGTGTCATTGAACGCGTCGGACGCCTGGCGTATCGCTTACAGATGCCGCCAGAGCTTGCTGGAGCTCTCCCAGTGGTATCGTTACAACACCTAGAACGTGCCCCTCAAGAAGGCGATCTCTCTTCAGCTGAACCTCCCTCCACGTTCGATCCACGCTTCCCGGAAGACACAGATCGTGCAGACGTAGACGCGGTCCTGGATATGCGACATAGAGGCCGCGGACGGGGTCGACGAAAGCAGTACCTAGTCCGGTGGTCCGGAGTGGGGAATGAACACCTGGAGTGGCTGGATGAGGATAACCTGGTGGGAGCAGAAGAAAAGGTCCTAGAATACCTCCAAGACGTCCTGCGTCATACGCAGGAGTCCATAAATTAATCATACATCTGAAGCGGGCTTGTTTATATTAGCGTTCATATTTGATATACCCTTTGCTGATGCCCGCTCCTTGTTTGTTTGTTTTATTTAGACTTCCGCAAAGCTCGAAAAGCTCGAAAAGCTCGAAACCCGACCCGATCAAGGCTCCTAATTATTAGATAGAAAGAACTAAAATCTACTATCAGATATTAGTATTATCCTAACCATCTAGATACATCCTTTAAGATTTTCGGTTTAAGAGTAGTACTTCTTAAGTTTTAAGCGACTAGCTATGAGTACTTTAAGTATATCTAATCTCGATAGAATATACTTACGTTTAAGTAGCGCCTCTACTTTAAAAAAGTAATTAAAGAGGGTATTATAAATCTTATTGCGCTTTGATCCAACCTAGCACTCTCCCGCTGGATCAGAGCACGCTGATCAAGCTATTATGCTTCCAATTTTTTTGGCTCTATAGATAAACTAGCTTCGAATTCTTGTTCCTCGATAAAATCTGCTCAGTGATGGGCGGATAGCGGACACTATGGCCGGTGTCTCGACGGCTGTGGAAACGGCCAAGAGCATCGTTCATGCGTTCTGATTTCAGCTAGGTCTCAAATTTATGTTTCTGTGACCGGAACCATTTGACTATTCTCTCCTATCTGCTCTTGCTGCCCTCTTCTTGGCCGCTTTACATGCCCCGGCGCGTTAGGGCTATATTTGCCGGTCCGGTTTTCTACAGCTGTGGATATGGTTCATCGTTCGGCCACACGTACTTCCTGGGGATTACAATAGATCCTTCACAGTTTAAAACTGATTCGACTGAACCTTAGATGGGATAGTTAAACTAGCTAGCTATTCATCCAGTCATCGGGCTCTTCTAGATTTTAAGGAGAAAGAGAGATCTAATTTAAATTCCCAATGGCACTCTAGGAATTAGGATACAACGTAGATATCAATCACATTATAGTCTACTACTACTAGTGATACTCTACGAATCCCCGGGGCGGCCACCCCGCAGCCCTCCTGTAACGCTTTATAGCTAACCTCACCCGGTATAATTGCTAAGCCCGAATCCATTTTCTGCGAAGAATTGAGTAGCTGTTTGAGATTGCGGGTAGATTCTACTTTGACCCTCCATTCGATTCGGTCATTAGCGCCGGAGAAGATGTGGGGTTGGCCCCTCCAGGTGGCAAACGGTTGCCCAACGCGCTACTTCTTTCATGACGAGGATGAGGCCTTGACGCGAAGCATGACTGGTTTGCAGTGAAAATTGTGGGCCTTTTGCATAACGATTTAATGCAGGCTTCAACTAAACTATCGCGTCACTCGATGTTAGGATTAGTTTTTGCGGATATTTGCACTTCCTTTTATCCGATTGACACGGCTATTGTGTTGACTTGAGATTTCCCGGAACTTGACATACTCAAGTTGCATGGTGGCGCCTATAGCTCTTGAAAATTCCCACCAGTCGGTGGTGCGAAGGGACAGTGCGAAGGGACAGAACGGCCAAAGATCAAATGCCTGATTTCGTAGGGTTGCTGTCTGAAATGCCTAAATTGTGCCTGGTTTTCGACGAGCAGAAATAAGGATACATGGGTTACTATAATAGATAGCTTAACATGCAAAGTATCTACCGAATAAGTTCAGAAGAATGAAACTATACTATTCCTACTACACAAATCCTAGAGTTCCCTTTTTTTCTTCATGTTGAAGTGTTTTCATATTTGTCCCCCTTTCTTTTTACCCCCTCTACTACTCCCATGCGCTTACCCTAGTCACCGTTCGAAGCCTTTCTCCAGGTAATCTATCCAAAGATACATTTTGTGCGGTCGGGGATAGTGTTCTTGGGATTTGTTGGGAATAGCTTCAATCTACAGTGTTTAGCATAGAGCGGTGTCGAAAGCGGTTTACAATCAGGTATGCACAAGCATCAACCCTGTCAAATCAGGCATCTGACCTTTGGCCGCTCTGCCCCCTTCGCATATTTCCCCTCCCTTCTGTGATGTATCAGGCCATCGCAGCAAAAGATGTCCGATGGGGTAAAAATGTCCGGATTTCCACGAATGATCACTGCATCTCCATCACTTAGTAATCTCTATAAATTGCAATGGCAGCCCATCGATTTTCGTTCAATCTTAAAATGATCTCCCTCGATGTATTTTAATAATATCATCAAGCTGGTACTTTGCGCATCCCTGGTGCATGGATATGCAAACCCTGGCAGTTGTTCAGGGGCCTGCAATGTGCATGACCCAACGTTGATACAAAGATCATCGGACAATCTTTATTTCCGATTTTCTACTGGCAGCAGAATTTCTTATGCGAGTGCTTCATCGATCAACGGACCATGGACTGCCATTGGGTCCATGTTGCCAAGTGGATCTTCGATCGATCTCGCTGGAAATGATGACCTGTGGGTAAGAACGATCCTTACTGCAAAGCTCGTCTGCAACTAATGAAGCAACTCGGCACTGACTTCCGTGTTAGGCCCCCGATGCGCAGCTTGTGAATGGTGTTTACTACGTTTATTATTCTGTATCGACGTTTGGTTCACAGAATTCAGCCCTTGGACTAGCGACATCTGCAACTATGGAGTCCGGCTCCTGGGTTGACCATGGAGCAACTGGCATTGCCTCGTCATCTGGCAAGGAATTCAATGCCATCGATGGCAATTTGTTCAATGATGGTACTACTTACTATCTGAATTTCGGCTCCTTTTGGCACGACATCTATCAGGCTCCAATGAGCTCGGATGCCACTAAAGTCGCATCATCACCCTACAATCTGGCGTATGACCCATCTGGAACACACGCTGTGGAGGGATCCTATATGTATAAGTATGGAATCTACTACTATCTCTTTTACTCTGCCGGCATCTGTTGTGGCTACGACAAATCTCGCCCCGCCAGCGGAGCAGAATACAAAATCAAGGTCTGCCGATCGACCTCACCTACTAGTGGATTCGTATGTGACCAAAAGTTTCCCTGTTTGAACACTCGCCCTAACTCTATTCTATCTCAAAGGTTGATGCCGCGGGTACTGCTTGTACAGGCGGGGGGGGCACAGTTGTTCTAGAAAGTCATGGCACAGTATACGGTCCTGGTGGACAGTAAGTTCTTTAATTAGATTGCCAAGCACAAAAATTAACCTGATATTTCTCCAGGGGCGTATTTACCGATTCTACCCTCGGCCCAGTGCTTTACTACCACTATGTCGACACCACTGTGGGCTATGCTGATGGCCAGAAACTCTTTGGGTGGAATCAGATCGATTTCTCAAGCGGATGGCCAGTGGTTTAGGTACTAAAGTGAGTTGGCGTCTAGTTTTTGGTGCCTTTTTCAGTCCAGGTATCGTTTGTCAAGGCTAGATGGCTGCTTCTTTCTCCGGTTCTGTCGGCTTGTATCACGATGAAAGAATGGTTCTTTTTTTGGGCCTGTCTCCGTTGACCTGATGATATTTTTCCGTTAGGTAAATTTAATGCAAGCAATCCAGCATAGCAAATCCCAAGTATATTGTTAATCGCCTAGGCTGCATGTTTTGACACAAGGTATCTTTATCAGGTCTCCTTCTCTGAAGTTACGGGGAAAAAACCAAAGTACTACTAACCATACAATTTTCAGACTAGTTAATGTAAGATCGTGAAAATTTTTACATTAGGCGAGCATTGATTTCTCGCTCTAAATTTGAGTAGAGTAGAGTTCATATCAGTTGTGCCCATCTCGGCAGTCTCCACACTCGGCCGACTAGTGCCCGCGTTGATCTACAAAATTAGTCCGTCTTTCTCAGGACTATTCTCCACATTTCATAAAATTCATTTCCTATGGCCAAGTCATCCAGAATAAGCGCAAAATTTCCGGTGATTTACAAAGGAAGATGAAGGCGCGTTGTGCGAAATTTCCGTCGTATGGTCTTCCTTCTCCAAAGTCTCCGACGTCATCCTGAGATAAATAGGTGGCTGGCAGTGACAGTGGGAAGTGGTGTTGTTTCGTTGTTGATGATATCGAACACTTTCGATGTTCAAGTGCTTCATTACTTGGGAACTGTCTTCTTCCTACTCGATATGTTGCCACTTGCTCTAGCCTTTGTCGCTTCTTTTCTCCGATACGATATGATACGCCATACATCCTAGAATATGGAATGTGAGGATTCTAGACCTAATCAATTCACTCTTCTTGGTGACAATCCCTATGGAATTTGCTACACTTGTTGAGATGGGGTGTTTATTTGCGTGTCAATCTGGGGCAAACGGGCCAGAAAAGATTTGTGGGCCTTGTGGACCATAGGCTTCGTCGCTGAGGCTTCTGTAACTTGTCCCGGTCCTTCATTTTGTAGGTCTAACGTCCTGCACAAAACCAACGTTTAATATGCTGACCTCAGATCGAGTATCTCAGCGCTACGTTAACTCGCTATATCGGATCACAGCACCCCAATCATTGTCAATCCCAGCAATAACTGTGGCAGCGGGTACTGGCGCAGCGGTTGCCTTTGTCCTACCGGACGAACAACATGCGCGAGGAACACTCCTCGTCTCGTTCATTCTCCGGGGCGTGGGCACCCCATTGGCCTTTAAGGTATCTTTTATCTGCAACTAGCGGTGCATAAGCTTCCACCGCAGATTGTGAGCTACTTTTTTACCCCTGGGGCCTCTTGGATTTGGTGGGTTCCGGCAAGTTATATCGCTGAATTTCTTTAAGCCATGGTATTGCGCTGTCAGCATCCTTTGCATTTGAAAAGTAGCAAGGTACTTTTGCAGGATTCCATATTACTCAACCCCATCGTGGGCCAGATGGCATACGTATTGGGTGCTCTCATCTCCCTCCGCACGTGAAGCTTCGACTTTAGCCAGCTCGTTCTTCAACGTTCTCGGCACCATGTCTCCTGTTTTCCCATTTTCTGCTCTAGGATTACTAAATTTACGTCTGCGAACCTTAAGTGGCCTTCTTTTGCTGTTGTGGTAATTGGTAACATTGCGAACTGCACACGGGGCGTGGTGCGGAATCCTGTTTTATGCCCGGTACGTATTGTGTACAAAACCTAGCGAAGGAATATGGGGCTGCGCAAGATATGGATCAGCATCGGGCGTAAGAATGAAAGAATTGATCTCTCCCAAGCCTCGAAGCACTCCACCAATACCATTCATGTGCCCAGGTGTGATGCATCATGCCGGATAACCCCGCTGACAGCGTCTTCTATCACGGCGAATGGAGGGAAAGCCACGAAGCACTGTGCACTTTGGGCAATTTTTGCCGAACTCTATATTTTTATGTGATTGGTCCTGGGTTTACTGTGTATGAATATCTAGTTAACCATCTAGCCCCACGTTCAGCCCGTCAGATTTGAGTTCGCTTTCATCTCACTCCCTCTCTCTCTTATGTTACATTCTTTTATAAAACTAACAGTTTATTGACTCTTTGCTATCCCCCTATGTCTTTCACGATATTGTTTGAGTAGAATGGTAAGGCCTGGGTTACATCTATGGGGTATGGCAAGCTAAACGAAGTCTAGGATGCGGTATATGAGTTTCCCTTCTTGCAGGAGGTATTCTCTCCCCTTGAATCCCACAAGGTCGAGTATGAATACCAAGCTCTGCTGTATTCTTATTCCTTTCTAAGTTTTTCTTTAGTGTTGTCTTTGTTCATGGCCTGAATCCAAGCGGTCGAAATGATCATCCTTTCCAGACATGGACACATAGCAATGGCAAGTTTTGGCCGAGGGACTTCCTAGCCGATGACATTCCATATGCGCGCATCTTTGTCTATGGATACAATTCAAACATCACTCATCCACAGACGATGTCCACGGCAAGCATCAAGGACCACGCCAATACCCTGTTGAACTTGTTGGATATGGAACGCGGCCCCCAGATGGTAGATCAAACCTGGAAATCTCGTGAATGCCCCCCTTAACTTTTACAGGGCTCTATTCCACCCAAGGTGATATTTATCGGACATAGCTTGGGAGGTTTAGTGATCAAGCAGGTCAGATATGCTTCATTTACCTCACAAATCCCACCTTTTTTCACGGTTTCTAACAGTCATATGGTATAGGCACTTCTCAATGCCAAAGAAGATCCGAAATACACTTCTATTCGTTCCGCAACTTCTGGTCTCGTCTTCTTCGGGACACCTCATCGTGGAGCGAAGGCTGTGGAACTGGGGAAAATTGCATCCCGGGTTGCCCGCTTTGTCTCCAAAGGCCATGCTAGCAATGACCTTCTAGACTGCTTGGAGCACAACTCACTTTTTACTCGGCAAATGACCGATCGATTCCGACATCAACTAGAAGATTATCGTGTTGTTAGCTTTGTCGAAGGGAAGGAGGTGCAAATAGGGGGAGTTGGACCTGCATCAATCAGCCATGTAAGCACAAAGCCCTAAATCTTCCTTTCGAAGAAATACTGAGATGGAAAAGCTTGTGGTTGATGAAGAGTCTGCCGTTCTTGGATTGTCTGGTTTACGCGAGACTCAACTCAAGCTTGACGCAGATCACTCGCAGATGTGCAAGGTGGGCGTTCGGGGTCCTATGTACCGTTTGATAAAAGGAAACATCAAGCAACTGGTAGATCAGGCGCTTTTGTCGGAGCAAGGTTTCATTCCACAATTGATGCCTCCAAGTACCGTGTCATCTCTACCGCCGGTGCTACCACACGTTCGTTTGATTAGTAGCACGCCATGCCAAATCCCAGCCCCTGCGGTGCAAAGGGTGACAGGACTGATTTTCAATGCTCTGGATAATGACCCACGATCTGTCCGCTCCGCAGAACTCAAGAATCAGGCTCGGTGGGATGAAGCCCGATCAGTTGAGTATGGGATTTTCCAGGAGCATATGCGCACCCTTGGTCCGGATCATTTCAGCACACTATCAGTCGCATACAACCTAGCTGAAGTGGAATTAGAGACCAGCTACTTGGAGAAAGCAAGTGAATGGTGCCATTGGGTGTCCGACACCACCCAACGCGTCTTTGGGACAAAGCATCCTCTAGCAATGAAGACGGAAAGTTTGACCGCGGAGGTCTTGTGTCATCGGGGCAAGTACCAAGAGGCCGAGTCGATTTGCGCTAACGTGCTAGCACGCCAGCAAATGACTATCGGCGAGGACCACTTGGATACCTGTGACACTCGACGCCGACTAGGAGTGATGTACAACGCGCTAGGTCGCCGGCAAAATGCGGTCATGACTGCAGAAAAGCTGACAGATACTCTGAAACGTCTGCTTGGAGAAACCCACATTCGTGTATTCGGCTCTGTTTTGGATACTTTGGAATACATTGTTAGCAACCAATCTGGAGACGCAAATACCCTCATTGTTATGCGTTTTCAGCCAGATGTACAACGAGCCGTGGAGATGTTGTTGCAGACCTACCAAGAGCTTCGGACTGCCTTGGGTCATGGACACCCATCTACCATTCGCGCGCTCTGTCTCCACGGTCGAGCACAAAGCTTTACACAGCAGAGTATAGAGGCCTCGGAGACTCTTCGCCGTGCTTTGGCCAGTGCAGAAGAAGCCCTAGGACCCGATCACCCACTGACTATGGACATCGTGAGTAATATTGGCGTCATGTACGCTCTGCAAAATGGCTATGCACAGGGTTCAATCACCAATGGTCGTGCCCGGGAAGCCTTCCCCTGGTTACTGCGATATTTGAATTGGGTAGAACATCGCAAAGGCAAAGACAATCCCGAAACCCAAGCCACGTTGGAGTGGCTGGCCAATTTACACTTCAACGCTAAAGAGTACGAGCCCGCCCAGCAGTACTATGAGCGCCTTGTGGCGAATATGCGGAGGAACGACCCAAAAGTGACCCAACGTATCGACAATCAGCTTCAACTGTGTCGGGCGAACACCATTTACACCCGTCGGGGCCTGGGGTCGGGAATAGGAGGGTTTTTATCCAACTTGCAGCGACATTGAAGTTCACGTCGATTTCTTTACTTTGAATCAATGGGATATTCATCATTCACTCATACTCATATGTGAAGAAATTTTAATCCACGAAGAAGTATCGGGAAGGTCTCTCGACATGATGTTCCATAGGTAGACCCAATTATCAGCTATTTAGTGTGAGTACTTGTCTGGGACGCTCTTTCTGTACAGAATTAGCGCTCGCTTCCCTCCGCCAAGTTCCTATGGGAATATCATACCCATCCTTATCCAACTGCTCACGGCCGGTATCGGTGAGCTTCTTCGCCTGGTCACCCTTGCCACCGCCGAGCTTATTCTCCGCGGCGTGAATTCCTAAAGATGTTAAACTTGGAAATCCAATCCGCGAGATTAAGGATAGTGAATCTCACCCTTGTCAAGGTATTCTTGGCCCTTGTTGCCTCCGAGCTTATTAGCGAGACCGGAGAGTTTGTCCATTGCGAGTAGAGTTGTGATTGTTACAAATGTAGAAGATGGTGTGTGGAAGCAAAAGTCCTGTTGAACCACGCTGTTTATAAAGATTCATAGAATCTATCCCAAAATCGATTACATTATACTCCGCAATTTGTTATCGCGTCCTGGAATGATGATTCGCTTTAGCATAGAATGCTATCGTCAGTGCCACCCTCGCATCATCCTAAATGTGGGTTTGTCCCCGCAGAGCTCACGTCGAACGCATGTTTATTGGCATATTGCTCCATGATGGACTCACTTCTGAGGTCATATAAATGATCTCGATCTGGATCTGGTCCGTAGTCTAGTGGTGAGATTGTGCATCGTGACGTCAGCGAGTGCAAGGTGAGTCTTGCCTCAGGCATAAATTAACCCCTTCATGATGAGGCATTCGGGCATTCGGGCACCAACTCAATTGTCCCTATTGTGCCCCGGTAGGGGGCATCATATGATTCCAAAATGTTAGCTAAGCCTCCAGAGAAACTGTCGCCGAATCATACACGAACGTGTACAACATAAGTCTGCACTTCTTATCTGATAGACTCTAATTTCTTCCATTCCCACTACGGAGTACTCCGTATATACTTCATTTATTTCAGGTTACATACATTCTTTTTTGTTTCTGAAACTTGTAGGTTTTAGGGGTGTGCAAATTGTAAAATTTCTTATCAGTTCGAACAAACCCCGAAGATCCATAGTCGAATTCTGACTGGCTTCCGGTGAATGTCTCCGATGCACAACAGCACGCCATTCCCAGCCTGGGAAAATTTCGGAGCTGCCTTGTCTACCCCCGTCAAGTTCAACTTTGCTTTTACATTTGTGTTAAAAGTGACTTTGATTCTGAAATTCTCCCCATCTACCCGGAGTACCTTTGGAGAATATATAGGGGGTCATGATCGTGTTGTTCATACCAATAGCGAGATATCTAATCTTCCCCGATTCAGCCGAGCTATCACCGACATAAAAATGTACCTAATGGCCGACTGATAAGTTTCGCAAATTCCAAAAGCTTGATCCGCATTGACTTCCCGGCGCTACAAGATATTTATTGTGGCTCTGCAGCCAATGGGGTTGAGCCAAAGACGAAAGATGTGATTCTCCAAATAGTGACGTTATTTCTACATGGGGTCCAAGATCAGTATCACAATCCCAATAATGGATCGTTTAAATGTTGAAGATCTTAGGGGGTTTCAATAGCTTTGTGATGCCCAAGATTTTTGGAAAGTAGAGAAAGATTCATCGACATACCCTTAAACAGCATGAGTGACGAAAAACAGCCTCCCGTCACCAGTCATCCTGACACGAAAACAGTCAAAGAAAACTATGCCGATGTGACTTTACGAATCATCGAAGACCATGGCAACGAGTTTAAACCCTTGACGCCGGAAAACGAGACAAAACTCAAACGAAAGTTGTACCTGCACATCGTGATTTTGGTATCATTCATCAACGTCTTTCTCTATGTGGGTGCTGCCTCTCAGTTTACCTCCAAACCTCTCTCTCTGACCTCTTCAGATCGATAAATCAACCCTTGGCTATGCTGCAATTCTTGGACTGTTTGAAGAGACGGGCATCTCAAAGTCGCAGTACAACACGCTCAACACTCTATTCTATGTCGGTATGCATACCCTGTACTCTTCATTATTTCACTTCTGAAGATTCAACTAGGCTACCTCGTGGGCCAGTGGCCCGGTAATTACCTTATGCAACGGCTTCCACTTGGGCGGTTTTTGAGCGGCACGCTATTCCTTTGGGGGGTCATCGTATTTCTCCATTGCGTTGCCACCAAATATGGGGGACTAGTAGTTCTTCGTCTCGCTCTTGGCACAGTTGAGGCAGTTGTTGTCCCTGCAATAGAGATCACTCTCGGCATGTTTTTCAATCGTGAGGAACAGTCTTTTCTACAGCCTATCTTTTTTATTACCTGTCTTGGGGCTCCAATTCCGGCGGGTTTCATTTCCTACGGATTACTATTCAGTCACAGCAATGTCCGCCCATGGAAGTTCTTCATGATCGTCAATGGAGGACTGACAATCTTGCTGTCCATATTGACCTGGTTCTACTACCCTAACAATCCCGCTGAGGCACGGTTCCTTTCTCTTGAAGAAAAGGTCCATGTCATCCATCGCGTGCACGAGTCCCACCAGAGCTCTATCGAGCAGAAACAATTCAAAAAGTCCCAATTCGTGGAATGCCTTCGAGACCCCGTGTCTTGGCTATTTGCCCTGCAGGCATTCACGTTGATGTACTCCAATAACCTTAACTATGGCCAGCAAAACCTCCTAACTACTTCTCTTGGAGTTTCAGACCTAGGTTCCACCCTAGTCTCCGCGGCAGGCGGCGGCTTTGGCGTTGCCCTCTGCATCGTCGCCCATTTTGCATTAAAGCGGTTTCCGAAATATCTCGCTCTGCATGGCCTGGTCTGGTGTCTTTTTGCACTGGCAGGGGGTTTAGGCATAATCTTCATCGATTGGAACCGGAAGCTGCCACTGCTAGTCTGCATGCTCATCGCTGAAAACACATACGGCATCACATATATCATCGCGCTCGGGTGGACAACTTCTTCGGCAGCCGGTTATACCAAGAGGCTGACACGGAATGCAATGTTCATGTTCGGCTATAGTGTTGGAAACTTCGTTTCCCCACAAATATGGGTTCCAAGCGCCGCGCCGAGGTATTATAACGCATGGATTTCGATGATTTTCGTTAGCTGGGTAGGGACACCAGCTATCCTTGGGATCATTCATCTTATCCTCGCAAAAAGGAATAAGGAGAGAAGAAATTGGATCGCTGGATTGAGCGATGGTGACCGAGAGGGGTGCATTGAACAAGTAGATGAGTCCGGGATAGTGGTGAGGAGGAGGGTGGATCTGGCGATGCTGGATCTGACAGATTTGGAAAACAAGCTATTCATCTATCCGATTTAGTGGGGACTGTTTGTCTCTATCCCCTGGGCTAGGGATCTTGACGATGAAGGCTCTTAAAACCGGAGAGTAATAGGCTTCAAAAACGCAGTATCACAGAGATAGGGTATTTTTGTGTATCTCAAAAGCAATTCATCCGATACACGAAGCCACTCAATCCGACGAAATCGTACTCATGACCCCCGCAGCAGAGTAGTCCAGCATATTCGCATGGGCTGGATTTATGGCTACTGTGGCCTTTTTTTTCACAAGCGCCGTATCGGAGATTTGCGGGGGAATAGACTCATTGTGTTGAATGCTTGGGTTGCCGGGGCCTTGGGCTGATTTAGTTCTCTATCTTGTTATGCCAACCACCACATGATCCAGGCTTTGTGAGTGTCCATTTTCTTTAATTTTGACGCACCGATCCGATGATAAAAAACTCAAACTCATCCTAACGTTTCGAGCGAGAAATCACCTAAAGCTTCGAGAGACAGTGGCTCTATACTCTATCAGTCGGACCAACCTTTACCCCTTAAATTGGATCCCACATGTAGAGATTTAACAATGGAAATGATAGGAGGAAGATTCTTTCCGGCTGATAGGATACATGTTACCAGCAAAAACAGCATTTCGGTAGTCCGTCTCTATAGTTGGGTTGAGTACGGATCTCCGAAAATTTTTGCGGTAGAACTGTGCAATGTGCTCAAGAGTGCACGAAGGTTGGTGCCATTGTCTGTAGTATCTCGTCAGTGATGGTGTTGAGCACTCTAGGCTGTTGCAGAAAAGAGTAAACATATCATTGGTTTCATTTTGTCAAATTATAAGTAGGAAAGGAGAGAAAAAAAACGTTTATAGTTCAAGATAGGGCAGATTCGTATCACATGTTCAACCTGCTTGTCCCGTCTACTAGGAGAATCTCTCAGCACTTTTTTGAAATGACATGCAACATGCGGTCGCTAAATTGCTTCTTAGAAAAGATTTAAAAAGTCTAAGAATCCAGTTCCTTTCAGCCCATTGGTTAAATTCGGCCAGAATCGGATGCTAATCTGTCAGATGCTAGGGAAAGTTATTCCTCGGTGGGGAAATGTAGTAGGTGCCGATGTAGCATTGCATAGAACAACTTGATAGATATGCAGATTCAGGGAACTTTTAAAGATGCATCAAGACATGCGCCATAATCCCCACTCACTATAAGCAAGCATTATCTCAGAAATAAAGCGGAAGGTTCGTGGATTGTGGTGGCTTTACCTTTCCATCATTTGAACTATAAACACAGTACACATAGTAAGCAGTGAGTTCAAGTTTGAACAACGTGGCATCAATTTGGATATCAGAGCAAGGCCATCGTGAAAAGTCGTGATCGTAAAACAAGTGGAAGAAAAGGAATCCCGAACTTAAGACGTCATCTCCAAGTCATGCATAAACCCCACCCTTTTTAGCCATGTCGACCTCAGCACCGCGCTGTCGAACCTTACCCTCATCATGAAGATCACGGTACTTTTCCTCCTCACTGCGGTTACCAGTGACAGCGGCACCAATGGATCCAAGAGTTCCCTTGGCGCGGTTCTGAATGCCCTCGCCCCAGTCCTTGATCTGACCCTTGGCCTCTTGTTCCTTGCCAGCGGCGTTCTGCTCGACTCCGGTGCGGCGCAGGTTCTCGTTTCCGATCAGGTTGCCGAGGGACTCCTTGGCAGAGCCAACGGTCTGGTCCCAGGAGCCTGTGTCACGCGTGGGGTTGTCTTTGGCAACAGCCCCGGTGTTCGGGTCGGCAGTGACGGAGCCTAACTTGGCATTTTTGTGGGAGGCTTCCTTTTTGGCTTGACCTTCCTCGTGCTTGAGTTCACCCTTGGCCTGAGATGTGTTAGGTATGGTGTTGGTGAGGGGGGGGGAAGAGCGCTAGGATGGATGCTTACCTGAGTGGAAGAATCGCCAGTCACTGCTCCCATGGTGCGCTGAGCAAGACCAGTGGCTTGGTTGAGGTAGGACTGAGCAGTGGAGACGTTGCCAGTGTTGTCAGACATGATTATTGGATGGTAGATGGTAATAAACAATGAAAAGATCGATAGTTGAAAAAAAAAAAAATTAGGATGATGAAGTGGTAATGAAGGGAGATTTATGGTAGAAAGTTTCTTTCTTTAAATACATAATTCATGTTCTAGATGTTCCAATGAATTCTTCAATCTGATCTTTCCCTGAAGTTCAAAAAGTGGTGATGATCTACGTCATCCGTGATGTCATATCACGTGAATGGCAGGTCGGCCTGTATGACGCTGAGTCCGTGTCAAAGCCAAGTTTTTCTCAGTGGTTTCAGAAGTCTTAGCAACCTTGTGTTAAAAAATCTAGGTAAAATCAAGTACAGGTGTAGAGGAATGTAATGATATACAATTCCGTAGGCAAATTTTCCATTCCAGAGAGATCCTGTGATCTGCCTGAAATGTTTTTCATGCAGCATGACAAGTTCGTAGTTCCTAAACACCAAGTCGCCGCGCACGACGTACATAAACCCCACATGCAATGCCACGCTCGAACTACTAAACACAAAAACCAAAAAGAAAACCCCAAATTTAAAACCTTGGAGAACTACCAGTGACAGATCCCACCTTCATTGTCCTCGGCTGTCCATGTGCCACAGAGACCGACAACCTCAAGATGACCATCTGGTTGTTCGCCAACCTTGCTCAATGAAGCAAAGTTCTTGCCTGTGGGGCCGTTGCTCAGCAAACGTCGTGCCCAAGCATCAATGGCAGGCTCCCCAGTCTCATCTCGAGCTTGTTTCAGGAAGGGAATGAGTGCCGTGCCACCGGTCCCACGCAACTTTTTCTTGTCGGTGGGAGCTGCGGTTGCAAGGTTCGTTACTGGGAGGCTTGGGATGACAGATTGAGAAGGCTGACGTGCACTGCGGGACTGCAGGATGATATAGCGTGAGACGATGGTAATATGCTTGTCGCGGAGAACGCGCAGCATGGCTAGACATGCGTCATAGGCAATACACAGCGCTGAGTCTCCGCGTCGCGCCTCGACGAAGGAGCGGATGTTGGCTACCGAGTCAACATGCTCAAGGAATCGTCGGTGTGGGCCAGGCATGTAGGTGCGCATGTCGTGAATGAAGCTATTTCGTGATTTGGTGCTATCGTCAGTGTTTTTCTCCTTGTCGTTGCGACTTGTCCCGGTTGGTCGGTGTTCTACTCCGAGGACAATGTCGAAGAATTGAATGAGTGAGCTTTGGGCGTTGCTGCCCCCTCCATACTGTCGGTATTCGGGATTATGGCCATCGTCGTACAATAGTCCATTTGGCAATCCAGCATCACACATGTTTTTACTTCCAGCTAGGTAAGGGCGTATGCGGTTGTAAAAGACGTATGGATCGCAATTTTCATACATCCTCTGCAGCAGTGTGTTGGTTCCATCGATGCTTTCCGCTAGTCGCTGAAGGCACTCGGTTACAGTGTTGGTGTTTCCTGTGCGAGCCGCCGCGATGGCCCTCAGCATAAGAGGGATAGAGGGGGCACCACGTGCTTCTATGGCCACCGAAACCAGGTAGAACCATTGTTCATCAAGAGATCCAGTGAAGGTTTGTAGACAAGCTAGGTTTTCCAGGTGGGTGACTGGCTCGTCGGGGAAGATCGGCTTGTAATTCCACAAACAGACTCCAGCATATGTTGCAACGGGAGGTAATTCGAGTCGTTCACAGACTTGGAACAAGGGCACTGTAAGTTGAGGTGGAATCCTCTTTGAAAAATTAGTACTAAGTTTTGGAACCAATAGGGTGGGCCAGTACCTCTGTGGGTGAATCGCCACCCCAGACATAGCCATGTAGTATGAAGACCAGTATGACATATGCACGACGCCACTCTGCCTCTGTCTGTAGGTGTGTGACAGAAAGTCTAGGGAGATGATCCACTATGGAGTGTAAACGTTTGCTCAATATCAATGGATGGAGATTCCCAATGATCATCTCCCATTTAGCATAGTAAGGGTCTGGGAGAATCTCCAAGGGAAGTTCTGGGGAGAGGAAACCATAGTCGGAGGTGATTCCAAACTCGGTAGGGTTTGGCACGGGAGGCAACATTGTCTTTTACCACGAGTTGCCACCCAAAAGATTCAGGTATTCAAGATATGGGGAAATGCTTGAATTGAAAGTTGAGAAGGAAATTATGAAAGAGAAGGATTATCTGGATTACACCAGAAATATCAAAGAGATCAGAGAGATCAGGAACGACCCGGATCCAAAGTATGGCTGGCTTTCCCCAAGCTAAATTCAGCGGATGATGACGGAAGAGAGAGGAATAATGGGATTCGGATGGATCAAAATGGTTAGATTTAACTTCCAATGAATGAATATGACTATTAAGGCTAAATAGCAGAGTTTTCTCAGATCGGACTCCGTTTGGACGTGAAATTTCACCGGGGATCCCTGGAAGGACATTTCTAATCAAGGTACCTAGGTAGAGTACGGAGGATTAAGGACCAAGGTAATGATGGCGTTTTGAGTAACTCCGACATAGGAAGGGGAAAGAGATACTTTTTAGAGGACCTCGGGGAAGTTTTAGAGGAGTGGACCAGGGAGATCAGATAGTAAGGTCAGGTACATTTTATATGGCTATACAATCAAACGCCATCAATTAACATCCTGCCAAGAAGGACTGGGTGCATCCGCGAGACCCAAGTGGAGTAGAAATTAAGCGAAGAAGAAATTGAGTGCGAGACATTGGGGCCTAACCCGGGACCAACACGGGAACTGAGGCATTTTCGAGCATTTTCGCCTTTTCGCTTATTTTTGGCTTCAAATTCGCTTCACTCAAGATCGTCAACTTTGATCGGGGGATGCATGACTTTGGATTTAGATTGAACCTCAGTTTACATCTAGATCTCGACATTATACATTTCCACTCTTGGACATTTGTATCATCTCCTCTATTCTTTCTGACAACAAATGAACTGACTAATTCATTTCGGCCCGAGGCCTAATATGGAATCCCCCCCAAGGTTATAGGCTTCATTTCTGTGTCACAGTCCACCTACATCTGCAATGTTCGGTAAATAATCATGGAACACATTTCAAATGAGTCTGGAAACACCTAGCTGTACCATTGTAGCACAATATATCGATTTCAAGTTTATCAAGTTTGTAGCTCGGATCGAATTTCACGAGAGGTACCCCCACGATCTAGAAGGTGTAAAGATTGCCGGCACCGTATAATTTAAAGCGAGATTGATCATGGTTGGCTCTGTCTTATAATCAATTCGAGAAAGCAAGTGGGAGAGAAGACCTTTCACCGAAGCCAATCTGCGGCCATCCAAATTCACTCAGGCCCGCAGGATTCTTGGCAAAGGCAACCCACGCTCCTAGGATATTCGTTCAATCTAAGCAAGTCCGGGTTTTCATCTTGGAAGGGATTACCTTGTATGCCTTCACTGACTTCAACTTCTCTGGCATAATCGCCCTGGATTTATCATAGGTTCCAAACACAACAGGTATCTCAGCTAACAAATTCAATTTTTAATCAAATAAGCAAGAAGAGGGCTGGTTACTTCTTACCCCCGTGGTATGCTCCAAGCCATGGAGTGGGGCTGAGATTTCTAAAATTCCCATGATATAGATACCTCCAAGTCGGCACATGCTGACTCAATGGAATCCTAGGTAATATCCATAGGTGAATTGGAGTGGTCAAAAATGAGAAACCCCTGTGGGCTCTTACCTCACAGCTTCCTGGAGGGAACAGTTTTAAATCCTTTGACCAAGCGCATGAAATGCTGCCTCATCAACAGATATTTGACTTAACATCAGGAAACCCATAGCTTCACACGCATTCATCCCTACCAATGTTGGTTAAGGTTCCAAACATGGTTAATCGAGAAAGATACATGAGAGATCACTGTCAAATACATACCAGATGTGCCAACTTCCCCATTTTAGCTCTAGCGGCATATTCGGAAATGACAAGGACGTCATCCATTATGTAAAAAAGGTGTAATTTCTCTAGGCCCTGTTCCGACAATCTTCATCGTTGGAACCTGTCTCATACATTGGAAAGATTGGGCTCCGACGCCGCATCCAACAGCAGTATTTTGATGATCAGGAGCTGTGGTCGGTAGTGGAGCGGTGCCGGAGTGAAGAGCAAGTACGCTAAAAATAGGATTGTCTGGAAACTATCTCCTTACTTGAAGGTAACAACAATCAGATCATCGTGAATCTGTACTAAACTCGTGCCATCGTAGTGACCAATGGAACTAGCTCCTGTGTCATAGCTCCTCTATGAATTAACATCATGACTGCTGCCCTGTGAGGTCCCTGATGGCCTCAATGCTTGACAGAAGGTGCCCAGATATTGATATACAGACTGTCTTCAGGCATGTCACCATAGTTCCATATCATAGACGGGAGAACACTTTAAATAGACTCATAGGAGTATACATGTATCTGTGGACAGGGACTGCTGATGGAAGCTGCATCAATGGGGTTTCGAGATGGTAATTTGGGACGTGGTGGTGCCCATCGCAATTTTTGAACCTAGGGGAACGGCATGAGGAGTTCTAAGAAATGCCCGTACTTTGTGTGCAGTATCGTTATATATACCGTTCAAAAAGCCGGAAGAGGTCATAACTCAAAGGTCAGGGGATCGATGACTAGCCAGAACGGCCACATTGCTCCCATATGCACAAAGGATGGAGAATTGATGCATTGTGTGTGTGTTTCTCATTCCTGTCCAAGTTTTGTTTCTTTGCTCACGACCAAGGCCATCTCAAAATGATGGGAATCAAATTCAAACCGCAAATTGACTCTCGGTAAATAGATCTTGACTTCCTTGCCAAAGAGTACAGACGCCCTCTGGCGATGGGTTTTGGGGCCGGGAGAATTGTGTGGAGGCTAATTAAACGTCGTTTGGCTAAAGGATTGATCACATGGGGCTGTTAACCTAGCCCAAACGTTTCTGACTACGCAGAGAGCTAAAGGCATCGGGGGCTTAAAGAAGAAGATAGAGAGTAGTTAGTTACTCGGTGATTATTCTCAGTCTGTTCAAATCCAATGTTGTTACACTTCAACGCCGTCCCTGATGGGTGTTTTTTTTCATGTCACAAATAATACGATCAGTGCTGGCTCCATTCAATCGTATTCAAATCAATTCCCTCCTGCACCAACTCCCAAAGCGGGCTCAGTTCACGCAAGAAAGATACACGGGCCTGGACAGCCTTGAGAACGTAGTCGATCTCCTCGTCCGAGGTGAATCGACCGATGCCAAAACGGATGCTGCTGTGAGCACTCTCATCACTGCTACCCAGAGCGCGCAGCACGTAGCTAGGTTCCAGAGAGGCGGAGGTACAGGCACTACCCGATGACAGCGCAATATCGTTTAACGCCATCAGTAGAGATTCACCCTCGACATAGGCGAATGAGATATTCACGCAGCCAGGGTAATGGTGCTCGGGGTCACCGTTCAGTGTGGTGTGTTCCATAGCAAGAAGGCCCTCGCTCAGACGCTTGGACAGACGCTCAATGTGTTTGGTATCGTACTGTTCAACCATTCAGTTAGCATGCCGTTCTTCGAAAAAAGTTTACAAGTTCATATGTCTGCTAGCTTAGTATGCCTGCAGTTAACAATCACTGGAGCTGAAGAACATGCCCAATGAACACGTATTTTCCAAGAATCTCCAATTGGTTTTTAATACAGTGCAAAATAATCCTGGCAACGATATAGAAATGGAAAATTGAAATTGAAAGAAAAAGCTTACCTCCATGTCTTGGGCAGCAATCCGGCAAGCCTCGCCAAAGCCCACTGCCAGATGAGGGGCCAAGGTACCACTACGTAGACCTCTTTCCTGTCCACCACCAGTGATAAGAGGGTCGAGACGAACACGCGGGCGACGACGCACAAAGCAGGCACCAATGCCCTTGGGGCCGTAGATCTTATGGCTGGAGATCGACATCAAATCGATGTTCAGCTTGTTAACATCCAACGGAATCTTTCCAACGGCCTGTGCACCGTCGGTGTGGAAGAACACCTTCTTGGATCGGCAGAGACGGCCAATCTCCTCCAGCGGCTGAATCACTCCGATCTCATTGTTGACAGCCATAACACTGACAATGCAAGTCTCGGGGCGCATGGCTGCCTCAAGATCCGACATGCGAATCAATCCGTTGCTCTGAACTGGCAGGTAAGTCACCTCGAATCCTTCATCCTGCAAGTGTCGACAACTGTCGAGCACACACTTATGTTCGGTTTGGGTAGTGATGATGTGATTCTTCTTTCCCGAGCGACCAAAGAACCGAGCCACACCCTTCAGACTCATGTTGTTGCTCTCCGTCGCACCACTTGTGAGAATAATCTCTTTGGGATCGGCCCCAATCAGGTTGGCGATATGCTCACGAGCCTCCTCGACTCCCTTCTCCGACTCCCAACCGTAGGCGTGTGTGCGCGAGTGCGGGTTACCGTAGATACCGGTGAGGTACGGAAGCATGCTATCCAAAACCCGAGGGTCCAGAGGTGTGGTGGCTTGCATATCGAGGTAAATGGGACGGGTGCCCTGGTCCATAACGGTGGCCTGCTTCAGAATACCGGCCGAGGGGCTCATCGCGGCGTCACCGGAGGCTGCTGAGCCAGGCAGCTTGACATTGCGGGGCGCCATATGGGACTGGTTCATGAATGACTTTTTTTCCTCTTTGATGGTAGTCTCGATGTTGACCTGGGCTTGGCCAACTTTTGTCTCGGAGACATAAGACCGAGCACCGCGCAGTCCGGTGGCGAGGACTCGAGGCGCTCGGGAACCATAGGTTGAAAGGCGCCTGGAGAAGGCAGAGGCCTGTCTCCAGGTAGTAGGGACGGCACTTGTCATGATGAAGATGGTGTGTGCAGATGTAAGAGGGATAAAGAAGGGGACGCAACCCCGACTTTTTGTTATCACCGGCATTTCGTCTCAATGACTAAAGATCTCGGGATTTTCCCAACTAAGTTTGTCCGTCATGCCTTAGGCATCACGGACGTATGAGCTTTCCCTTTTCAGGTACTCCGTAGATTCTCCAAGACTTCCAGGAGTTCCGGGACTCACATTATATCTTCATTTGTTTTATAACACATGATTTTGAGTAGAATCTTTTGGAATTCCTCTTTCCGCTTATAGTATTGACAAATTTGATTCAATTGCCAAGTCCCCCCCCCGCACTTCCCAAAGGAATGATAGCCCAATGATGACGATCGGACTAGGGTCTTTTAATTTGATGGTTGGCTGCCGGGGAAAGGGAAACCGCTTTGGAGATTGTAGAGCCAATGTAACCATTCGACGATTTCTGGACTAATATAATAGGTTACTATATGTACTTTGCATACGAGTCAAAGTGTGTAGTATATGCATGGTGTACTCTGTACTCCGTGCAGCTCTAATACATCGAGAGTAATAATTCAGGTGCCTAGTTTTGATGATAGTGCGCCACAAGATCACAAGGCAGAGAGTAATAGCATTTAAATTAGTACAAGACAGTATAAGACAATATGAAAAGGAAATATGTACAGCCACAATGGACATCAGCTCCGTACAACGCTGGTAGAGTCTTATGTCATTGAAAAGGTTTGGATTCGCCCTTCTTCTTCTCCCCCTCCCCCCCACCTTGGCACTTTCTCGTCTTTACCTCTCTCCTTAATCTTCACACCATGAGTTTCAAAGGATTCCAGAAGAGCATTGCGCGTGCGCCACAGCAGTTCAAGGCGAAGTTCAACATCGGTGAACATACCAAGGATGCTGTCTACAGCGATGCCGAACGCCGCTTTGATGAGCTCGAGAAGGAGACCAAAAAGCTACACGATGAGTCCAAGAAATACTTTTCTGCTATTAATGGTTAGTCTTTAGCCCTCTTTTAGCCTTGCAACCCCTCCCGCAATACTGACCGCGTGCGCAGGCATGTTAAGCCACCAAATCGAATTCTCTAAAGCGATTGCCGAAATCTACAAACCCATCTCCGGTCGCGCCTCCGATCCCACCTCCTACCAATTCGAAGGAAATACTGAGGGTATCCAGGCCTGTGAGGAATATGAGGTCATTGTCAAGGAACTGCAAGAGGCCCTAGCCCCCGAGCTGGAGATGATCGACACCCGCATAATCAGCCCTGCCGACCAGCTGCTCGAGGTCATCAAAGTGATTCGGAAGGTTGCGGTTAAGCGTGATCACAAGAAGCTGGACTTTGACCGCCGAAACGCCACACTGAAGAAGCTGGAAGAGAAAAAGGATAAATCGCTCAAGGACGAGAAAGCACTATACAAAGCCGAGAATGATGTCGAGCAGGCAACCCAGGATTTTAACTATTACAACGATTTGCTGAAGGACGAACTGCCTAAGCTGTTCGCCCTCGAAGCCGAGTTCATCCGCCCGCTCTTCCAGTCCTTCTACTATATGCAACTCAACGTCTTCTACACTCTCCACGAACGAATGCAGGGCATGAACATCAGCTATTTCAACCTTAACCTCGATGTCGAAGAGGCCTTTGAGCAGAAGCGCGGCGATATCAAGGAGCAAGCCGAAGCTCTTACCATCGTGCACTTTAAAACCCAAGGCGTCCGCCGCTCTGGATCTAAGCTTGGCCCTCAAGGCAAGGGAGCCGATGGCAAGAGCTCCATCGGCCGAGGCCGTTCCAATTCCACCGCCACTGATGACAATCCTCCACCCCCTTATTCGTCTGCCGGCATCAGCCCTAGCCCGACGGGCAGTTTCTCTTCCGCCGCCAAGAGCAAGCCCGCCCCGCCTCCTCCACGGGCGAAGCCGTCCTATCTCAGTAAGCCGGTTGAGACTGTCACCGCTCTTTATGACTACGAGGCTCAGGCACATGGTGATCTGGGATTCTCGGTTGGTGATGTTATTGAGATTACGCAGCGCACCGAAAATACCAATGAATGGTGGTCTGGGCGAATTGCAGGTCGGGAGGGCCAGTTTCCAGGTAAGTGTTTCGGTCTTTTATTGAACTTGGTGCATTTTCTAACATCCTACATAGCCAACTACGTGCAGTTGAATTAGCATCGGGATATTATTAACTTTCTAGCTCTTTTTCTCCTTTTTTGCTCTGGCGCACATGTGGTTCTGAACATAGAGCGTTCGCCTGTAAATTTTCTTTTTTTTTCTTGTATTGTTAACTCACTTGACTCATCTCATCGCTATTTTTGCAGTCAGTAGATTGGCCATATATTGCTTGCACAAGCTTACATATTCTAATCCACCCTCCAGGGGGTATGCTCAGTCTCTCTCTTTGCTGTCGAGAGTCCATTTGAACCCCAAAGCAGAATTGGTCACTCAGTATAGACTTGTGTCAGTGGGAAAGAGTACAGAAGAGCATGGGAAACCTTTGGATCTTCAAGTCCATCAGTGCAGTTAAATGTCTATGAATGCATTGCAATACAACTCTTTCCAAACAAGTACAAAAGTGGAAATGAGTGAAGCTTGGCATTAAGAATGTATCTACATTTTGCAGATTGAGATGAAAGGAAAGTTGAACCTGTATCAAAAACTGCAACCGAGGAAGTCAAAAAGAAAGTACATGAAAAGTTGGTTTCTGGTCAGGATCCTGTACACCAAAAGAAAGAGGAGTTATATCTCTGAATTGCCGAGCGCTGTGTACTATCACACGATTGAAGTGTTCTTTTGAGCTCGATTGATCAAAATATCGTGTTCAACTGCTATTCCATAGAAAGCATCGGTATCCCGCGAGTTGTGTGGGCCCTTGCTCATGGTGTGGTCCGAGTAGCACAGAGTCTGCGCAGCAGTCATGGCAGACAGGCTCGTCGGACTATCCTTTGTGGGAGACAGTACGCTTTCGGCACCGCCGACAAGGGCCCGCCATAAGTTGCGTCGGCGTTGATGATCTTGGCTTCTGGAACGTCGTGAGTGCTCAAGGGCAGCGCCGGCCCAGATTGACGAGAGTGGGAGGGAGATGACGACCAGGGTCACCACATTGGATGCGAGTTCTGGTACAATGATGTAGTATTGGATGATGGAGAAGATGGCCGGAACAACCATGGTCTGGCAGCCCATGACGAAGATGACTTTCATCGGGCCATATTCGCGCACCCCGAGTCGGCGGCGCTGTTTGATGGCGAATCCGAGCTTGGTGACAAAGATAACACAGAAGAAGCAGATACTGATAGTGACGCAGATGTTGGTTGCGCTTTCTATCCACCATATGTTAGACATGTAATTGAGTGTAACGATGGCATTGCAGTTCACAACCATCCATGCACTGCGAAAACCGATCGGCACCAGGGCCACCAGGATAGATAACACCAAGAGGGAATGTCGGTATCGACGGCGTAGTGTAGAGCAAACCACGTGGACTTGAATCACAAGCGATACTTCGATACAGACGATGACCAAGGTAGTGAGAACGACAGCCACGATGGAAATGGCGTAGGCGCTCCACGGCACCGACGAATAGTCGCCGGATACATATGGGTATACCTTTTCAAATCCAGTGGAGAAATGTATGACTTGAAACAGCAGACGCCCACTATTGAGGAACAAGGCCAGACCGTTCAGGATGAAAACCGCTGAACGACGCTTGTCGGATTGGGTCAAAAGCAGAAGAATCACTAGCAAGGTGAACGACGCTCCAAACTGACAACCATAATTGATGCAAACCCGGACATTGTACATGACGAAGACGTCCAGTGCTTGTACTGAGACGGGGAACTTAGTGCCATCTCCTAGGCGGAAGGTGACGTTCTGGGTGTATGGATCAAATGGCGGACTTGGAGATGGTGTCGCCGCCATGGCTTCAATTTGTGAACTTCGATTGAAGGGAACTGAAAGACAGATCACATAGATGGTTCTGAGGTCAGGTTATAAGTATGTATAGCAAGGATCGAAGCGTCTTTTAAAGTCTTTTGAAGAAGCGTAAAAGATGCAGAGAATTTAGATCCTGAGCAGTTTCAAGAGAATCAGGGTGAATGGTCAGATTTCATAAAAGCCGAGACAGACAATGGCGAAGGAGGCATATAAAAAATTCAGAATATCCCAAGAATCCAGATGGACCAGGTCCAGATCATTTTGAGACCCTACATTGTGAGTAGAAAAGAACAATACTAAGGGACCGGGGAGAACAATATTAAATGAAACAAAGCCCATAAATGGCTAGGAAACGGGTGATAATAGCTGCATGAGATCTTCAGAACACCCAGAATAGGCTTTTGATCTTGGGGATATCACTGGCTCGCTTGTCAAGTTCGAGTCGGGAAGGTTAGAGATTCTTTGTTTCGGGATTTCCAGGCTGAAAGCCTCGACGCAAAGGATATCAAGTACCCCATGGATGCGTCTTTTCCAGAGAGTCTTAGAGAGGCCTGAAGAGGCCAGGTGTTTTGTAAGACAGAGGTTTCTGATTCACAGCTCGTTGAGCTTCTTGGCCTATCATGTGAGAGAATCTGTCTCGCCCCTCAAGACTTTGAAGTTCGTCTCAATTCCAACAGAGGCGTTCAATTCAGAATTAAACTGCTTGGTAAATTAAGAACAAAATAAAGGCAATCTGATATGGTGAAGAGGGCAGGGGACTAGGTGTTGGTGTAAAAGGTGGTGAGGTGATGAGGTGGTGGGTGGAAAGTCACCTCTTGCTTAGTGATGGACACCAACACCCGTGGACACTATGAAGGTACCTAGGTGTAGCCCTAGAGATCAGGCTAAGAAATAGCATCTGTTCACTCCAAACATCCAATACATCTTCAAATACAAAATCATTACGAAAAGACCAGAGCGCCCATACGTCGCCACGAAACTTGCGGGAAAGAGGGAACGTCGCGACCTCCACCCTTTTCCACTCATTCCTCTCGCTATGGCGGTCCCTCAGAAGACATTGAATTGGCTGTATAGTGTCTTGTCCAAAGTCGGTCTCTTCAAAATCTCCATGTTATCGATCTACTAAACCCGCAGGATCACTATGATCCACAACAGACCTACCGCGACCCAAACCGGACCTACCACGATGTTGCCAATGCGCTCTCCCAGTTCCCCTCGCTCTCCCCTCGAACAGATGTCTACAGTGAGTGCCCCCAAGTGCATTCTATGCGGTTCTTGTTTCTGATACTCCAACAGCCTACGAGACAGGCTTCTCGGCCCTCCTGCTTCACCTTGTGGGCACGTTGCCTGTTACTTTCCGCGGAACAACATACCGTTTTCCCATTGCGCTTTGGATTCCAAATACCTACCCACGTGAACCTCCAATTGCCTACGTGACCCCGACACAGGAAATGACCATCCTCGTTGGGCAACATGTGACGCTGGAAGGACAGGTGTACCATCACTATCTAGCACACTGGGCCGAAGCATGGGATGTGAGTGCTCTGCTCGCAAGACATGGGTCAGCCACTGACCATTATATTCACAGAGATCCACTATCGCCGATCTTCTCTATATTCTTCAGGATATATTTGCCAAAGAGCCACCGGTCCGATACAGACAACAAGTGCCGCGACCTCAGCCAGAAGATTCCCAAATACCTCCGCCATTACCTCCCCTTCCATCCGGTGTCGGATCTTCGAGACCAGCTCAAACTCTGTCTCCTTCTGCAAGCCAATACCATAGTCCACCCCCGCCCCCGCCGAAGCCAGGCGCGGCTAGCGAGCATCGGCAGCAACAACAACAACGGCGCCCAGCTGATCAGTGTCGATCTCCTCCACCGCTACCTCCACTCCCACCAAAAGAGCAAGGCTCTCGTCAAACCCCCTTATTCACACAAAGGGCCAGCCCGGGAATCCTTTTATACCAGAATTACGCCCCTCCGGGCCAAAATAGAGGTCCGATAAGCAGCCCTCGTCCCTTGTCGCAGCCACCAATCCATCAGCCAGCGGGGCAACCAACGCTGCCTCATTCGGCGCATGGTCAAACACCGTATGATAGAAATAACGGAGCCCCGGTCTATCATGGAACCGGGTCTACTATATCGAGCCAGGTCCATCCCCAAGTTAACCCCGCAGGGGCTCACTTGTCTCTACAGCCGCAACTCCCCCATCAACCACACCAGCAATCTTCTGGTCCCCCGTGTCCTCTGCATTCGTCATGCCCATCCAACTATCCCCTTCCACCTCCAGCAGCTCCCACGAAAGCCGATACACCCGACCTTCTAACCTCGCCATTTGAAGTCGAGCTACCCTCAATCGCACCCGCGGGACCAGCTCCTCCCATCCCACCAAACCCAGAGAAAGATGCACTTCTTCATGCCGTGTCCCAGACACTGGCAGAAACCCTTCGCGTTAATGCAGCACAGTCCGACACGGCAGCGCAATCCCTCGTCTCGCAATCACGGTCCCTGCATGCCGCCTTGGCCACGCTGCAAGGGGAACTCTCAGCGCTCAATGCTCTCCACACGACCCTCCAATCCAACACTACTGTCCTACAGCAGTCCATCCATCGCGCCGACGCCACCATTGCAGACGCACAGGCCCGTTCGACATCCATTTCCACTTCTAGCGCTCCTTCAACCTCCGCTACCCCTGGAGACATTACGTCCGGCCTACCCCCAATCGATGACGTCCTAGTCGCCCCCACCGTGGTAGGGAAACAGCTATACGATTTGGTCGCCGAGGAGCAAGGTATACAGCAAGCTCTCTATGCGTTGCAAGCTGCGCTGGTCCGCGGCGTTACTGGTGTCGATTCCTGGTCGCGGCATACACGGAGTCTTGCACGAGAAGCTCTTCTCAAGCGGGCACTGATTCGCAAAATCGGACGTGGAATGGGGTTAGATGAGAGTGTGGCATGAAGCACCGGATGCTGAACATCGTTGACTACACATCTTGGCTATACATACCCTTTCTTTTCCCCGCATGTCATGGAATAACTAGATGATGTAAAATCTTTTGCTTCTTCTTCTTCTTCTTCTTCTTCTTCTTCTTCTTCTTCTATTCTAGCGACTCGCGATTCTTTCCCTTTTCAATTTCTCGACATCTGACGGACAACTCCCTACGGAGTAGTTCGATGCCAAACCATGCACTTCCCCTTTCCTTCCAGCGCTGTCTTTCAAATCCTTGATTTGTGGTCGCCTATGCCAAGGGGGGCAAGACCGATCTACCTATTTTACACTCCGTAGCCTAAACGGCCCACAACATCAAAGCCGGGGATGAGTTGGGAACTTGCATGTTGCAACTGGCTTCGTCACTTTTCGCTTTATATATAGATTCCACCAATGGTTGTCAATATCCATTGCAAGTCGAAATCTGATGGAAACTCTAAGAGCTGTGATGTGCAGGCCTAGGCATGGAGGAGATTGATCTCGTTGGAATTTCTACTCTTTCTGCAATGTGATGAATGGGCTAGAGGTCTATTTAGACGGAGTCTCCCTAGCAATCTTGCCTTTAATAACTCCACTCAACTGCTGTCCATGAACAATGCTCTTGTCAGGTGTCGTGTTCGACGAATGGTGCATAGTAGCGTGTGAACTTCACCTTGGTTTTAGCTACTGATGTGCCTACTAGACAGAAAATTTTTCCAGAGTCTAGTAATAGATCGTTAAGAAGACACATACACGTAGTATCTAACGATAAAACTGTCTTTTTTTTCCGGTTTCGTGTAGTTGCTTCCACACTCACAACCCAACCCACATTATCAAAAGGGTGAAAATTAAACAACAAGACTATCTCATGTATAGACAGCCAAATATCCTTTACCTGCGTGCCACTTGCAACAGGACTAATCTTGCAAGCGCAGTGCAAGGGTTCTTCTTTTGCCAACAAGACTACAAGCACACTATCAGTCTGGTTCATGATTATATAGTGTGGACTTGATATCCAAGGATTATATAATAGAGAGACCTGGTAATTCGACGAAAGAAGCTTGGAAGACAGTGCAATACATCGGATATCTGGATGCCTATGGCAGTATTAATATGAAAGTATCCATGATACTCCAAAATGATGTGAATATAGATTCAATCAAAAATCCCTTCTCGGTGTGCCAGTACTCGCTGTACAAGGCGCTCAAGGAAGGAAAAGACTTAACATAACTCAAAAGGTATAAAAAGCCGCGGCAGGCTCCGTATGATACATACATAGAAAAAGAGTTGGAAATGGAAAACCATTGCCCGCAGTAGGTCACAGACCCGCTGATTTCACCTCATTCGCATCCGAGAATGGACTTTCTACCCGGGTGGGTGGGGTCCGAGTGGAGCTTTGTCCATCACGCAAGCTAGAAGCTCGACCTGGGTCGGTCTGGCGATGCGAGGAACCAGTTTCCAGGTTGGCGGTGGATGATGGATGCGTGTTATCTTCGCCCGATGGGGACGTGTCAAGTGTGGAAATGTTGTGACTCAACTGGTCGCCATTTTTGGTTGACACCTCCCCGCTAGTGTTGTTGCTTTTGTTATTCTCAGACAGCTCTTCGATCCGGTCGACAGCGGGTGCGATGTTAGGTTTCTTGTTCCTCACTGAAGGACCACGCACCATCACTGGCTTGGCGGTTACACTGCGAGCCACGCATGAACTGTTGCCCTTGACAGCCTCCGCCCGAGCGAGTTGCGCTGGAGTAATGGCCGGAACCGCAGGTGCGTCCGCAGGAGTAATCGTGACCGTGACAGGCGAGTCGTCTCCGGGGGCGTTTGGCCCAGCTCCCCCGTTGTGGATGCTCACCACGGCTGCACGAGACCGCTGGATCTGCTGTGCTGGTATGACACTGACGATGGCATCGTTACGGTAGATGGTGGTAGCTACACTGCTGCGCAAAGTAGGGGAGATGCTCTGGTGGCCGCTGGTGGTTGTCCATGACGAATCACGCAGGTCACCCGGCATAAAGAAGTGTTGATCGGGTGTCGCACCAGGAAGCGGTGGAACAGGAGGCATGAGGGAGGCTGGGGTCTGCGGCGGGGAGCGGTTGGTGACGCCAGGAATGTAGGCGATTTGGATGACGTTGGAGGCACGGGTTAGGACTGTAGAGGCTATGGACTGGCGTTCACTGCGATTCCCCGCGAATGAACCGTTTTTCTCCGCCTCCTGGCGCCCTAGGCGCTTCTTTCGGATGACGAACCACCATACCAAGAACACAATGAGGGCGATAGCAGCCACACCACCGATAACACCACCGGCAATGGCGCCAGTGTCGGTGCCTCCGGAGTCTGCAGGATTGGAGCCTGTTGAAATGCACTTTGTGGTCGCACATTCATCACAACTCGGGGCAGTCATGGTACATATTGATCCATTGGGACACGAGGGACAGGCGGGGGATGTGGTTTCACACTGCTTGCAGCGCTTGAAGAGGGAGTGGGCCGGGGAGAAGGCGGAATCCATGGGTTCAAGAAGCATACTGGACGAGGAAAATCCAGACAGGGAATATCGATGAAGCCGGTCAACGGCAAGGAAGGTGCAAAGAGAAAACAAGAAAAAAGGAGTGTGAGGTGCTCAATCGGCGTCAAGTCGTGAGCGTAAACAATAGATCATCAAAGCCGAGCGGCTAGGCGTGGCAGGAAACGAGTGTCGGGTGTGAGATCAAGATCGAAATGTGAGGGTTAAGCGATGATCATGGTCCTTTGGAATGGGTCCAGACACTTGAGAGATGGTATATGTCCAAGAAGGTCGGGATAGGGGCTTGATCTGTTGACGTTGACCCAACGGCGCGTATCAGAGAAAATCAACTCACAAACCACACCCCGATTAAACGATCAATGTGGGGACGAATAGATAGATGGATGATGAGAGAGAAAAGACGGAGAGCACGACAAGTCAAAAGAAAGACGGCAAGAGGATGATTGGGGCCTTGATCACGGGCCCGTGAGGTTCCACGGGTAAGATACGGGGTAGTCAGGCACACAATTTTTGTACCTGAGTGAATATTTTATATCGATATGGTGTAGAGAGGGTATTGAGGTAGATACAAAGAAAGGTAGAGCAAAAATCGAGATCATACAGCCTTTAATATCAAAATAGGCTATCAGATTGTTTCATCCCATGTTCACCTTACTTGGACGTGAGGGAAATAAGTGGACATCTTCCCGTACCAAGTGGTCTGGATTCCCGGATTATCAATCTTCCAAGATTACGGCAGATTTGAATCTTTCTTTGTCTGGTTTGCCTGGTTTGTCTACTTTGTCTAATGGACTTCCACAAATATGGTTAGGGGTTAATTAATCTCTGACATTCTTTACAAGGAGTCACTGAAATCTTCTTACCTTAGGGAATGGGGTAAATTAGGGCTTAGGAAATTAAAATCACGTACGGAATATTTTTCAACACTGGCATCCGATCAACTGAGTCATGTATATCTAATATGGGGGCGCGGCTACTAGTCACTGTACTTTGCATCCGCACTACCTATGTTGTACGGAGCTGAACATCAGTATAACCTTCCTTTGGACGATTGGAACTCAACTCAAATTTGATCATAAAATATTAGGCTGGCTGGCTTGGCACTGGGGCAAAACACACGCTAGACCCTTGGATTCCACAGTAAATGTCTAAAATTATTCACAGTTGATCAGGTGACCTGAAAGAGAGAGTACGAAACATCCAATTTCAAGCTCAGAGTAGACAGAAGAATAAAATGGCTAAAAAGAGAAATCTTAGAATGAGCAGAGCCCAGTACAAAATGGGGGAATCAAATGGGACACTGCAGGCGAGAACTTTGTACACCTGCTCCGTACGTGTACTGGCATTCAAACACTTGTACTCCGTAGTGGAGTCTGGCATGCCAGCCCCTAGGTGTTTTAAGCCTTGTTAACGGTACTGTTGTGCTCTCAAGAATGTGGGAGAAATCCTTTGAGTTGTATTCCGTATATCCAAATCGAATTGAACTCTTATACTCTGTGTATGATGGGTCCATTCACCAAATGTTTCACCATCGAAGCCAGTTAAATAGGTTGAGTCCACACCTATATATGTCGTTCATAAATGATCTGGGAGGACTTGCCCCAAACATAAATAAATGCAACACTCCGTACTCTGTACATCCCATAGAATCTGTGAAAATGAAGGGAATCAGGGGAAAAATGAGAACAAAAAAGAAGAGAAAAAATAGGAATGCCTAGCCTCTCAGCCATTGACATCTCAACCAGTCAAAGGTTTTTCACAGGGCCTCGGGAGCATCGGTCTCTTGTTATAAAGTAGGCATGGAGTACTCCGTAGTTATATATGGTATTTACTACCTACCGACTAGTAGTAAGCTAGAGGAAATGATATAGAGAACTCCGTGGAATAAAGTGTACTCCGTACTATATTTCACGTCAAACCACCCCCCCCCCCCCAAAAAAAAGAGAAAGGGGAAACTAAGCCAGGATGGGGCTAGTAGAGACAGTCTATTTTTGACCTTTCTAATCTCACAGTCTCCTCCTTTTTTTTGACCCTTTCCTCCCCCCTTGTCTTTTCTCTTTCCCTTTGGCCCTTGATTCAAAACATTTGCAATATTCTCCAAACCTTGGAGACAAAATTTATTCTCTTCCCCTAGCCCCGGTGGCTTCGATAATCGTTCATAAATGCGACCTGCTTGAACAGATACCCCTCTCTCAGATTTGAAACACGTACCTTTCTGATTTTTCGACTTTTGCGACAATATGGCCTACCACGGCTCTGGCTCACACTCACCGAGCTATGATGATGGTCATCATCTGCAGGATGTGCCAGCTTCGCAGGTATGTGTGTGGATAGGCGGTGAACAAATCGCTAGAGCTGACCCGGTCTCCTTTTTGTCTATGGTTAGTATCGCGAGGATGAGGATGCAGCCCGTGGATTATTGTCCCAACAGCAGGGCCCATTTGAGACTCCTTTTGACGACCCTCACTCGCGCGGTGTTTCTCCCCAACGTCCGGTTTCCGGGTACAGCTTGACGGAGACCTATGCGGCGGACACCGCCCCTTCCTACCACGACCCATACAATCCCAGCACCGCCTACTCTGGCCAGGAGGAAACCACTGCGGCAGCCTTTGGGGTCCCCGGCCGAGTTGCGTCCCCCTATGCCCGTAGCGAGACATCATCTACCGAGGCTTGGCGCCAGCGACAGGTCCCTGGTGGCGCCCCTGGTGGCGGCGGCTTGCGCAGATATGCTACCAGGAAGGTCAAGCTAGTGCAGGGTTCCGTCCTGAGTGTCGACTACCCCGTGCCCAGTGCCATCCAGAATGCCATCCAAGCCAAGTACCGCAATGATGTGGAAGGCGGAAGCGAGGAGTTCACCCACATGCGATGTATGTATGGGATAGACGAGGAACATACTGCTTTAAGAGGAACAACTAATGAGCCCTTCACTCTTCATAGACACCGCAGCCACTTGCGACCCGAACGAATTTACCCTCCACAATGGTTACAATCTTCGCCCCGCAATGTACAACCGTCATACGGAGCTGCTTATCGCGATTACCTACTACAACGAGGATAAGAATCTTACCGCCCGTACTTTGCACGGTGTGATGCAGAACATTCGCGACATTGTCAACCTGAAGAAATCCGAGTTCTGGAACAAGGGTGGACCCGCATGGCAGAAGATTGTCGTGGCCCTGGTCTTTGACGGTATTGACCCCTGCGACAAAGATACTCTTGACGTTCTTGCGACCGTCGGTATCTACCAGGATGGTGTTATGAAGCGTGATGTTGACGGCAAGGAGACTGTGGCGCATATTGTAAGTGGGAATCGCCCGGACGTTGGCCCGAAACGAAAATGGCGCTGACAGAACATCTAGTTCGAGTATACGACTCAGCTTTCGGTCACGCCAAGCCAGCAGCTCATTCGGCCCACGGACGATGGCCCGAGCACACTACCACCGGTGCAAATGATGTTCTGTTTGAAACAAAAGAATAGCAAGAAGATCAATTCGCATCGCTGGCTGTTTAACGCTTTCGGCCGCATTTTGAACCCCGAGATCTGTATCCTTCTGGATGCCGGTACGAAACCTGGCCCTAAGTCCTTGCTATACCTCTGGGAGGCTTTCTATAATGACAAGGATCTCGGCGGTGCCTGTGGTGAAATCCACGCTATGTTGGGCAAGGGATGGCGGAACTTGGTTAACCCTCTCGTGGCTGCCCAGAACTTCGAGTACAAGATTAGTAACATCTTGGATAAGCCTCTAGAGAGTTCTTTCGGTTACGTTAGTGTCTTGCCCGGTGCATTCTCGGCCTATCGATTCCGTGCAATTATGGGTCGCCCCCTTGAACAATATTTCCACGGTGATCATACGCTATCTAAGCAGCTTGGAAAGAAGGGTATTGAGGGTATGAACATTTTCAAGAAGAACATGTTCTTGGCTGAGGATCGCATTCTTTGTTTCGAGTTGGTCGCCAAGGCAGGCTCTAAGTGGCACTTGTCATACGTCAAAGCCTCCAAGGGTGAGACTGACGTGCCTGAAGGTGCCGCTGAGTTCATCTCCCAACGTCGCCGTTGGCTCAACGGTTCTTTTGCAGCAGGAATTTATTCGCTGATGCACTTTGGCCGTATGTACAAAAGTGGTCACAACATCGTTCGCATGTTCTTCCTCCACATTCAGATGTTGTACAATATGTTCAACACTTTGCTTACCTGGTTCTCGCTCGCTTCATACTGGCTGACTACCACCGTCATTGTTGACCTTGTCGGTACTCCGAGCGATAGCAACGGACACACGGCTTTCCCCTTCGGCAAGACGGCCACGCCTATCATCAACACGCTTGTGAAGTATATATATCTCGCTTTCCTATTGCTGCAGTTCATTCTCGCTCTCGGTAACAGACCCAAGGGCTCCAAGTTCTCATATCTCGCCTCCTTCGTGGTCTTCGGTATCATCCAGGTTTACATTGTGGTCGACTCGCTCTACCTGGTCGTTCGCGCGTTCACCGGCGGTGCGCCCATGGACTTTGTTACTAATCAAGGCGTGAAAGGCTTCCTTCACTCTTTCTTCGGGTCGACAGGCGCTGGTATCATTATCATTGCCTTGGCTGCGACATTCGGTCTTTACTTCGTTGCCTCATTCATGTACGCTGACCCATGGCACATGTTCACCTCCTTCCCTGCCTACATGGTTGTTCAGTCGTCCTATATCAACATTCTCAACGTCTATGCCTTTAGCAACTGGCATGACGTCTCCTGGGGTACGAAAGGTTCCGACAAGGCCGATGCATTGCCGTCAGCCACGACTACAAAGGACGAGGGTAGTAAGGAAGCAGTTATAGAAGAAATCGACAAGCCCCAAGCGGATATCGACAGCCAGTTCGAGGCAACTGTGAAGCGTGCGCTCACTCCATTCGTTGCTCCTGTGGAACACGACGAAAAAACCCTCGAGGACTCCTACAAGAGTTTCCGTACCCGGCTTGTCACCTTTTGGATCTTCAGCAATGCAATTTTGGCAGTCTGCATCACCAGTGAGGCTGTCGATAAGTTTGGCTTTACTGTGCGTTTTCCAACCCCACTCTCTCCTTCTCCCAACCATAAGATTAGACCACTGACTAACCTTGATCATAGAATACCGCCACCACTCGTACAGCCCATTTCTTCCAGGCCCTCTTGTGGTCTAACGCTGCTGTGGCATTGTTCCGTTTCATTGGATGCTGTTGGTTCCTGGGTCGCACTGGTATCAGATGCTGCTTTGCACGCCGGTAGTTTGATTCCAGCAAGCACAAAAATGTGTGACCTTTTTCATGACTCTCCAGACACAATTGCCTGTTCTCTTCTTTTTCTTCCCCATACCGTGACCTGTATTCTACCTAAAGATGCCCAACTCTGTTCTCTTTTTGATTTTGCAATGCTAGGCAGTATGTATTCGCGCGGTTCTACCCTTGACGGTTACTGTGATGTTTTTTTTGTCGGGCCAGCTATGCACCAGGATCGCATTCGGAGCGCTATGATGATGTACTTCATATTCAATTTTATTTTTTTCACCTTCGAGATTCCAAAAACAAAACAGATACATGATATCTATGCAGATCCTGTAGACTGTGTAGAGCACGGACTTCCTGGTGCAATACGTCAACCGGTGGAAGGCGGAGAGGCGATAAAGGGCGATTGCTGATCTGAGACCCCCGCAAGCCCAGGACTATCTTGCCGTTGTCACCAGTTCGTGTCGCCTTTTTTTACAGCGTTGCATCTCATTTCTGTCTCTCCTTTCTTCTCTGATATTCTCCAGAGGGGTTCTCTAGCTTTCTATTTTCTACTTTGTTCTTCCGAAAACCTGTCCGTTCCACCAGGTGGGGTGGTGACTTCTAGCCAAAATGTTGAAAATTTGGTCCATGGTAGGGCTTCATTTGGCTCTGAGAAATACCTTGAACTATCACTAAGAGTTTGGCCAGAAACAAAAGCAACAGGAGGCTGAGAATGCCGAGGGTGTTGCAGGCAAGAAGAAGAAGAAGGTCACCGCGGCGCAATTACGCGTGCAAAGAGGTGAGTGACTCTCTCGTGGTGGGCATGGTCGCTTACTGGATCATTGTTACATGGATATCTAACCTCTTACCTCTTTAGATCTTCAAGAACTCACCCTCGGCAGCACGATGAAAATGTCTTTTCCGAACCCTGACGACATCCTTAACTTCACCTTGACCATCGAACCGGACGAGGGCATGTACAAGGGTGGTGTCTTTAATTTCAGCTTCGCCGTCAATCAGAACTTCCCTCATGACCCCCCCAAGGTCAAATGCACGCAGAAAATTTATCATCCCAACATCGACTTGGAGGGCAACGTTTGCTTAAACATTTTACGAGAGGACTGGAAGCCTGTGTTGAATCTGAATGCTGTTATTGTAGGCATGCAGGTCCGTTGATTCCGTTCTTTTGACTCGTCAGTACTTCCGCTGACTGGTAATATCACCGCAGTTCCTTTTCCTCGAGCCAAACGCCTCCGATCCTCTCAACAAGGAAGCCGCGGAAGATCTTCGCGTTACTCGTGACACCTTCAAGAAGAACGTACGCAACTCTATGGCCGGAGGGTCCGTCCGAGGCATATCATTTGAGCGAGTTCTACGGTGAGTGCTAGCTCGGGCTTCACCCTTGCAGGATTTTCCATCAGTTCGCATATCTAGCCTTCGCCCATACCCCATAGCGATGAGCAGATACGGGATGATGATCAATGGTTTTACATGGCAGAGACATGGTTCAGCTCCAATGAGAGGTGCACTGGTGTTTCCACGTACATATATCAGGCGTAATTAGCGCTTGAACACAATAGATCCAATTCGCTCATTTGACTGGGCAGACATAAGTGATCAAGTAGATCAATTCGGGCGTTCGGGCATAGCTACGTAGAATGGCCTGCGTCTAATGGAGCGAGAGAAAGATTTAAGTCCAAGATCATAACCGTTGGTTGTCCACTGGCATATATGTACAATCGATCTCAAATTTAACCACCCACCCCGTCGATCCACGCAAGCCTGATGGGGATATCGAGACATATGCCTCCATCGCTGGGCAATTTCCTAGATAACGTCTTGACAAAGAATAGAAGTGGCGCTGAACGGGCGGGAAGGAGACGATCGAGGGCAGGTGATCAAGGTTGATCGATTTAACCCCGCTGGGCAGCACGCTCAGCCTCGAGGCGGGCGTAGTAAGTATCGCGCTCACGCACGCGGGGGAGGTGGTAGCCTGTCAGACGAACGCATGATTAGATTTTAAGTCATCAATCGCGTGGGGCTAGCGCAGCCAAGGACAATCTACTTACCGTACCACCAGAGGTAGCCGAAGGTAGTACCGAAGCCTAGCGAACGAGATACCATGATCAGCAAACATTTCACTTTTTGACCTCATCCCAGCCAACTTGTTGGTGCTTGTACTCCACGAGGTCAATCCCGAAAGATCGCGAAATCCAACTTGTCGCATGATCTTGCTACTTGATCCTGATTACAACTTACCGAAAGCGGTGCTCAGGTCCAGAACGAGACCACGGCGGAGCATCTGTAGACAATCATTAGTTAAATTATTGCAAACTTCTCAATTGACCTGATCAACCCGCTCGGGTTAACCCGGCCTTCAACGGAAGGGGGTACGTACGCCGGTGATGGGTGGAATAGCTGCGGGCATTATGACAAACTGGTTGCGTCAATCGATGCTTGAGCAAAAGAAATTTAGGTTGCGGACAGCTTGAAACCTGCCTCGGACGTTGGTGTGGAGAGGAGAAGGGTGGCAAGAAGGAAGGGCTGATTTGTGAGGTGAAGTTGAAGCTTCGGAGCGGACTAAGCGAGCCGCCGGATTGGTCAGTCTTACTATGAGAGCGAACTATGGCATGTTCATCATTCCCTTGTTATTTTAGGCCGAATGATTTTCTTCTGACTTTCTAAAAACCGAGCCTTTTACCTCGATGAGATGAGTCTTTCGCAGTCCAAAACGACCTAGCAAAGGTCACGGCGACTAAAGGATGCTCTCGACATTAAGAATATGCAAGATGAGTGAAGCCTAGTCTAGTGGTATTATTTGCTCCACTACATATTGAATGTTGTACTTCTACCCCAAAGCTTCCCCCCCTCCCCCAAAGCTATTCAGATTTCTTCAGATTAGTCAATGAGTCAAGGTCTATGACAGCTTGCTCATCCAGATACTCACCGCCTTAACCACGTGACTCCGACTTGATTACACTGTCTGGTCGGGACGACCACTTCTTGATCAGACCAATGCAAATGGCCATGGCAACATCTGGCGCCCACGTTAAACGACCGTCTCCGTCCATCGACCAGAACAATCTGAAGCGGATAAGGAGTCATTATCATCACCACCATCGTTTACAGGAGCCCGTGGTTCTCTCATCCACCTCCGAGCCGGTCGTGCAAGATGACACCCACCTCGACCAACTGATGAATCGTGCAGTTGGCCAGACATTGAAGGACTCTGGGTTTGAATTGGCCGATCCAGCTGCGCTTTCGAGTCTTTGCAGTGCTACTGAGGAGTGTACGTGATCTGATATTGCATCCATTTTGAAGCTAGAATTGACGGGTTGCGCCTGAAAATTTCCAGACATGCTACGACTCTCCACATTCATCCGTCAGTCCATGCTATCTGCGCGACGTGTCCAACCAATACCGCAAGACTTTGATCACGCCCTGAAGCGTTTACGCCTCAATCCCGATGATCTTCTCCCTCATCTCAAATCAGCGCCCTCAGACAAACCCACGCCGACGTTATTACCATCTCCCCAACCAGAGAATGAGATATCCAGATCTCTCCCTTTTCTTACGGCTCTGAGCAGCGAAGACGACCGCACAAATCGTCCCTACATCCCAAAACATTTCCCGAGCTTCCCTAGCAAACACACCTATTCTGCCACCGCAGTCTTCATTGGACGAGACAACGACCCGCGCAAGATTAGGGAACGCGCCGCAGAGGATGGAAGGCATGGTGAGGAAGCTCTGCGAAAATTAGCGAGTGCCGCTTTCCGCGATAACCAGACGGGCTCGACTGGCCGCGATAAGAGACTTTGGGGTCGGAGAACGGACAGCATGGAAAGCATGTTCGAAAAGACGATCAAGGGTTTATCCAAAAAGCATTACAAGGACCCAATCACAAGCTCAGCCATGGATATTGATTCGGGACACCCGGTGGATGCCGACACCAAGTCCCGACTCAAGCTCTCATGGAATATGGAGTTGGGCCCCATTGTCAACAGTGAACGAGATCTCTGGCGCCGGATAAATTCAAATGCACGGCGAGGAGAGGAGAAGACCCTAAAGCCTCCAGCAAGTGTCGAGCCAGTAGATGTCATGATTGACGTATAAATCACAAAGGCTCAAGGCCCACCGGCGTTTTTTTGGTTTTTTGATTTTTTTTTTTAAATTTTTCCCCTTCTCTCATGATTGTGGGCTGGCGCTTGTGTTTTAGTTCAGGAGCATGACCTGAGGAGATACCCCATGGCAGTCACAAAAAGAATGAATATTCAGAATGCAACTTTCATTCTTGAAACCTGCAAATCGCTGTAATCCCGTATAGCCAAACTCCGCCCAATGCGCATTTGTAATGCAAAGAAGATTATCTCATTGTTTCGCTTCCTCTGTCAGCCTAGTTGGCTCCCATGCTGTTGTTTCAACCATTAATCCACCGGCACAGCTACGGGATCAGCTTGCTATTTGACTAGAACGCGATGTTCAAAGACTCACTGTCGGAATAACCGCACTATAGGTTCGCACACCACAATCCCTGGTTCGGGAACCCCATTTTGTGGTGGGTTGCAAGAGAATTGTGTCATTTCGAGTAATGGGCACTCCTTGAGGTTGACCGGTTCGCCTTTACGGCGTTTCTCTTGGAAGTTGTGGCGGACGGTGTTGACATGATCGGGGAGGGATTCGGCAGAGAATATGGGGACGAGAGGAGCCATTATAATTTGTGATTGTGAATATGAGAAACGGAGCTAGAGTGGGGAGGTTTTGTCGAAGGTAAAAGACTCGAAGTGAATTTGAAGGGAAAAAAGGTTGGAGGTTCGGAAGCTCCGTCAGCCGCGCCATTCAAGTTTCCACTCGCATCACTTCTACACTTCTACACTTCTACCGTTTTGCTCGCATCTAGTTACTGGAATTGAGGCGTGGTTAAGATATACTATATGTTAGATCCATGACGCAGATTATTACTCACCCATGGCAGCCAATCTCGGGGAGAGATCGCTAGCTGATGTGCACCAAGAGGGACTGGATGAGGTATTGCAGCTTTCCTATTCCTTTGAATGCATGGAGTTGACTAGTTTTAGATCCTCTCTGGGTTGGTCCACTTTAATGCTGGTTACTCAAGCCATGATACACATTTATCAGGCGTGCCCACTCTGGACACTTTGCTTGAACTCTTTGCGCCGAAAGCACTTGCCGTGTCAGATGCTGTGAACGATGGACAACCTCGATCTCTAAGTGAGAAGACCACTGACCACGCGGAAATGCTGCTGCAAAATAAATTCTCGGCTGGTCAGGTTTGTAGGCCGGATGAAATCCATGCAGCGCAAGACGTTGACCCATCTGCCAATGTGTCGTTCTCAGAAAAAGAGGGTAGCAAGAAACAGCAAGTTCCTATTGTGGAGATTTCAAGCAGCCTGTCGGCTTCAGGGAAGTCACAACTACTGTACTATCTCACGGCTATCGCTATCTTACCTCGAAAATTTGGGGAGATCTCAGTCGGTGGCCAAGAGGCAGCTGTGGTATTCATAGATACCGACGACCGATTTAATGCCGATAGACTAAGGATCGTGGCTCGAGGAATCGTACTGCAGCAACGAGGACTATCTGAATCAAGTCTTGGGGCTCAAGCTCAACCAGGAGGAACGTCAGATCATCATCTGGAATCAATGCTTGTCTCTTCACTGCAGCATGTCCATGTCTTTCGGCCGCAGTCTTCATCCGCTCTTTTGGCCACGATCCATACGCTAGATTCGTACCTTTTCGACCTCTCGCGACATTATTCCGCATCACGTCAATTGCAAATGATCGCCGTTGACAGTGCTACGGCCTTCTTCTGGCAGGACCGGCTGCGTGACGAAGTCGCTCGGACCGAAGAAATCGGGCGTCCTCAGATAGAAATTGATTCTGAGCGCAAGAAAAAACAAAGTTTCCATTTGTCAGACCTCTACACCGAGCTGGTGAGAGAGCTGAAGGGTCTGCAGAGTCACTTTCAGTGTGCAATTGTGTATACCGCAACGATCTCAGGAGGTCGGGCTTCTGGCCCTAGTTACTACGACCAGTCCCAGGGTCTTGTTCCATCCCTAAGACCGGCTCTTCCTGCACCATGGGGCACTTTTCCGACATTGCGTCTAATTGTGCACCGGTCTTCTGTTCGCCCATTTTCACCGAGTATGGCCGCTCATGTAGCCGTGCAAGACGCCCCTTCACGGCAGAGCGTGGTTCAGCAAGGGAAGATATCGGCATGGGTCAATCCGTGGGGGCGTGATGAATGGCCTCGTCGTATAGTGGAAGCAATCGAGGAGAATAATGGTGGGAGCTTTTCATTTTACGTGTGTGACTCTGGGGTTGAGATGACTGATCCCAATCGTTGATTCAACGGTTCTATTCGAAGTGTATATTCATCTATGAAAATGGTTTCTATTCGATCTTGTAAAGTTCAAGTAAACAGATTGGCAATTGCCTCAACGGTTGTATTGCCGCCGCTGAATACAACGCCAACATCCCATCCATCCTTGCCACCCTCTTGTTCGACTCGTCGCCTGAAGTTCTCATCAAAGAGACACACGGCCAGTCCAACCACTGCACTCGGCTCAACAACAACCTTCATGCGCTCTATAACCAACCGCATGGCTGACTTAATCTGCTCTTCGGTGACCGCGAACACGCCTTCCACCTTCTTCTGATTGGAGATGACCTCCCAATTGAGTAGTCCCACGGGAGTGCGTAGCCCATCTGCGATAGTGAGGGTGCCGACGGCTTCCACTCGCTTTCCGGCTTGCAACCCGCGTCGACAATCATCTGCACCTTCAAAGCTGGGCTCGGCACCGAACACGCGTGTCTGCTTATCCGAGAACCACGTCGCCACGCCAGAGTTGAGACCACCTCCACCAATAGGAGTGATAACCGCATCCAGAGATCGGGACCCAGCTTGTTCGGCATGCTGTGCCTCCAGCTCTAAACCCGTTGTACCCTGCCCACAAATGACGTTGAAGTCATCATATGGTGGCACGAGAATGGCGTTTGTTCTGGCCTGTATCTCTGCCACCACAGCTTCACGTTCTACACTTGTTGAGCCGCTAAAAATGACCTCCGCCCCATGGGACTGCGTACCCGCAATCTTCGATGGCGTGCTGATGCGGGGCATTACAACATAGGCAGGAATTCCTAGAGTCGAGGCAGCGAGGGCGAGGGCTTGTGCATGATTTCCTAGAATGAAGGAGGATTTAGCTAGTATCATTTTGAATTGTGCAGCAGAAGATCGGAAAAATACCAGAGCTATGTGTAACCACCCCGCGCTGTTTGACTTCCTCCCCGCGCTCCTCCAACAGGCGCAGCAATGCGTGGAATGCACCCCGTGCTTTGAAGGCACCGATTCGTTGAAAGTTCTCACACTTAAAGAAGAATCGAAATTGTGGACGAGCGGGAATTTGGCTTTCAAATGGCGTTCCGACCAAGGCTTCAGTGGATTGTGGTGTTGAGGCGATGGTATCGAGCGTTTGGCATGTCAACAGCGGCGTACGGTGCACATGGGGCTGGATGAGTTCGTGTGCCGCTTGAATTGCGGCGGGGGTGAGCGATTGAGGTACAACAGCGGGCGAAGTCATTTTGAGTTGAGTTGAAGAAGAGAAAAGAGACAAGTACAGGTGTGGCCCTTTATTTACCCCGGGTTCTTCTCCGGGATTCGGCACGCTACACCTGCAGGAACAGAGAAAAAAAAATCTAGGAGAATGTAGTAGGGGTGGCCGGTTAAGCCTCAGAATAATATTGTAGACCTGAAAACCAAAAAATAACAATTCATAGTACATCATCAAATTTTTGAACCCCCACGGGTATCAAGGTATTATTATTTATTTCTGGTTCTCGGGGCGGAGGGAGCGGACGGCCTTTCCGGCGCGCCAGATCTCAAGATCGCGGATCTCTTGCATCTCCTTCTCGTACTTCTCACGGTAGTCGGGCTGCGAGTTGTAGTCGAGGGAGCGCTGGGTCTCAGTGCCGTTGTGGACGCTGTCGTAAAGGTCGTTGAAGACGGGCTTCAGGGTATCCTTGAAGCGGCTGGACCAGTCAATGGCACCGCGACGGGCAGTGGTGGAGCAGGCAGCGTACATCCAGTCCATACCGTTACCACCGATCAGAGGGTACAGGGACTGGGTGGCCTCCTCAACGGTCTCGTTGAAGGCCTCGGAGGGGCTGTGGCCTCGCTCACGGAGGACCTCGTACTGGGCGAGGAACATGCCGTGAATACCGCCCATCAGGCAGCCACGCTCGCCGTAGAGGTCAGAGTAGACCTCCTTTTCGAAGGTGGTCTCATAAAGGTAGCCGGAGCCGACGGCAACACCCATGGCGATGGCGCGCTCCTTGGCCTGACCAGTGACGTCCTGGAAGACAGCGATGGAGGAGTTGATACCACGGCCCTCACGGAAGAGAGTGCGGACGGTACGGCCGGAACCCTTAGGGGCAACGAGGATGACATCAATGTCCTTGGGAACATCGACCTTGGTGAGTTCCTTGAATACGGGGGAGAAACCGTGGGAGAAGTAGAGAGTCTTGCCCTTGGTGAGGAGGGGCTTGATGGTGGGCCAGGTCTCGGACTGGGCGGCATCGGAGAGCAGGTTCATAACAATGGTACCCTTCTGAATGGCGGTGGTGACATCGAACAGGTTCTTGCCAGGGACCCAGCCGTCCTGAATGGCCTCCTTCCAGGAGGCACCATCCTTGCGGACACCGACGATAACGTTGAGACCCTGGTCACGGAGGTTCAGACCCTGGCCGTGACCCTGGGAGCCGTAACCAATGAGGGCTAGAGTGTCATCCTTAAAGTACTCCTGGAGCTTCTCACGGGGCCAATCGGCACGCTCGTAGACATCCTCTTTGACACCGGCGAAGTCAATGGTCTTGATACCACGGACGGGAGTGACGACCGAGGAGACTCGGGGGAGAGCGGCAGCGGCAGCGATAGCAGGGCGAGGGAGAGCTGCGGTTATGACCGAGCGAGGAGCGGCCACACGGGCAAGACGGAGGGCACGGGGAAGACCACGAGAAGCCATTGTGAAGATATGGAAGAGAGACGAGTGGAGAGTGAAGGGGAAGAAGAAGAATGGACCGGGGAAGCTTGGGAATTTAAATAATGGGCAAACATGGCTGGGCGATTCGAGTCACCGTCACAATTCTCGGAGAGCTGATCTTGCTCCCCGGAGACCCACACCGACACCGGCCGCTATATTGATTGGAGGGTGACAACATATTATGTCATGAAGTGCGTTTCCCAGTGCGACAAGCATTACTCCGTACTCGGTAGGTAATGGCTCTCATCTCATAGATCTTTTCCCCGGAGTAGGAGCCATCTCCGGGAATATCAGGAGAGTCCAGACTCTTGTACAAAGACACGTGATGATGATCGTACATGCACTCCCGAGGTCGTTCCTTTCCTTAAAGTACCATTTCTGCCTCAGGCCGCTAAATGTCTCTCCATCTCCCACGTCTTCAAATCCATATGGTTTGGTCTGTCCAATTTCTCTCGTTTCTAGTCTAGCATGAGTGTCTTCTCATTCGGGGATCTGCCCACCATCCAGACCCGGAAGGCCTTGTTACTACTTGACTTTCAAAACGACTTTGTCCGTCCGTCCGGCGCTTTACATATCCCTAATACACCAGATATTCTCGAAACCCTCCCACAACTGGCATCTGCATTCCGTCGAGTTGGCGATGTAGTTTGGGTACGCTCGCAATATAAATCTCCCCAGACAACTGTCGACTGGAACTTTGGTGATCGCATTGTCTTGGATAGAGAGCCACATCGCAGAAAGGAGACGCTCGATTCGGATGTAATTGAAGTCGGGCCGGACCATGATGCACCTGAACCTGTCGACCCTGAAGCCTTTCTCTCCGCCGACTCTTCGCTATTCTGTGACCCGCATACATCCGGATATCAGTTCCCCGCACCGATTCTGGCCGCCATCAACGCCCAGCATGACGCCGTAGTAGACAAGACAGGATACTCTGCCCTGGAGTCCCCTGGCCTTGTGTTATCCTTCAGGACACACTTTGTGACCGAATTGTACCTTTGTGGCTCGTTGTCCAATGTCTCTGTGTTTGCGACCGCTTTGGATGCTGTCCGCAATGGGTTTTCCGTAACTCTTGTGGAGGATTGCTTGGGGTTCCGCGATTTCCAGCGGCATCAAGAAGCAATGCGACGCATGGCAGATATCCTGGGAGCGACTGGCATCACCGCTAGAGAGCTCATTCAGGAGCTAGATTGGGATGAGACTGAGGCAATCGCTCGCCAAGGTGTACAGCAGCCTAAGAGGTCAGCAACTCCGGCTGGTCTCGAGAGCATCATGGATGGTCTAGAATTCTGGAATACCGCGGACACCTCTCCCACGGATGACTCGCATGACCCAGAGGACCGGAGCCTTTTGGAATACGCTAGTCTTTCTCGCGCACAGTGCACTACTGCTGCGCAGGGGCGGGGTCCAGTGGAAGACCAAAAGAAGGTGCGCGTGCGCGTCCGTCGTCCGAAGCGCCGAGACGCCCCAAAAGAACCTTCAACTGGACCTCACCCTGGCGGGGGAACGACACCTTTACAAGTCGCGGAAATACGAAACACGTCTCAAATCAAGATTGGGGAGGGCGACTCGCGCCTCGTGAAAAACGTCAACTTGGCCGCAAACGCCTTCGAGCGTATAAATGCGGAGGTAGATTGGCGGAAGATGTACCACCTGTCGGGTCAAGTCCCCCGATTGGTTGCAGTCCAGGGCCAACCTCGACCTGATGGAGCCATACCCATATATCGTCACCCGGCAGACGAGTCCCCACCCTTCAAGCCATTCACCCCGGCGGTTGATGAAGTACGCATGGCTGTTGAACAAATACTAGGTCATCCCTTGAATCATGTGCTCATTCAGCTTTATCGTGATGGACAGGATCGCATATCAGAGCACTCAGATAAGACGCTGGATATTGTGCCAGGGTCTTTCATTTGCAACGTCAGTCTAGGCGCTGAACGGGTGATGGTTCTCCGTACCAAGGCCTCGGCATCTGAGCACGAGGGAGGCACTGAACCTTGTCGAACAACCCAGCGCGTGCCTCTACCTCACAAGTCACTTTTTGTGCTCGGTCCACAGACGAACTTGCGATGGCTCCATGGCATCCGGGCTGACAAGCGCCCTAATGCAGCCAGGTCTACGGAGGAGCAAGCCTACGGCGGGCAGCGCATCTCCCTAACTTTCCGTCAAATTGGTACTTTCATCGACCCTGTAGCCAACACAATCTGGGGACAAGGGGCTGTCAGTAAGACATTGGATCAGGCTCGCACTGTGGTCCATGGGGATCCTGCTGAAACAGCACGCCTCATTGGTGCGTTTGGCCAGGAAAATCGTGACACGGAATTCAATTGGAATGCCGTGTACGGTGGGGGCTTTGATGTGGTCAACTTTTTGACTACATCAATAGGGCAACTAGCACTTGGCTGTGATCTTGTAGCCAATTTGCGTGTGCGTCTCTGCCTGGGGGAAAGCGGCGTTCGATATCGATTGATCACCAACTATGAGCAACTGGGAGCTAGAGATATTCACTCAATGAAACTGCCAATATATGAAACGCCCGATGGAGGAACAATCGCAGGCGACTCCGTTATACTAGCACACATGGCCAACCGGTCTGCTGAGATCTCACGGCCAGGTGTAGATTCGTTACGCGGGGGTAATTTCCTGTCAACGATCGACCAGTTTCTGGCACACTGGCGTCAGCACTGTGCCACCAATCCAGCTAGTGTGTTTGAATACGGGATTGAGGATTGGGAACGTATTTTGCAGGGCCAACATTATCTAGGAGGCTCTGTGTTTACCATCGACGATTGCTCTCTATGGCCAGTTTTACGGGAGATTTTACAGATTCAAGGTGCACTTGATTCTCGGTTCGTGAGCGTGAATCAATACTATCATCGAGTCGAGAACCGGGGCATCGTTCGGTCTATTCTAGAGGAGTAAAATCGGATCGACTGTGATTTATCTCCACAAGAAAGTTCTTTCAGCAACAGCTCTTGCATTCATTGTCCCTGTCCTCGCTATGGACATATTACGAAACCTTACGAATCTGCCTGGCCATGAGCCAGACTGGTTGAAGCCCAATTTGCAACCCCATTTGGATATCGTCATTCAGCTAAACCCACCCAAAACCCCCGCTATCTTGCTCTACAGCAGCACCATAATAGTCACAAAATAAGCTCAGCCTGTATAGGTCCCCTACTTGCTATTCTGATGTCGGCTTTTGCTAGCTTGTTGCCAGTCGGCTACATAACACGCCACCTGAGAGGGAAATGAGAATTGTACGACTTACTCCTAGATCAGGTTGCTCTTAGACCCCATAGGACATTTCATAGCAATTTCACAATTACACGAGGTGCCAATCTTTTAGCTAGAAAGGTATTCCGGATAGGCTCGAGCGGCTCTACGTGGCCTAGGATTTAATACGATAGATGGTGTATAATAACACGAACCCTATAACACTATCTATGATCAAGTCCATTTGTTGATATGAAGCCTAAGCTTTAGAGTTTTGTCGATATTGTTAGCCTAACTTTTACCTACGAGCTATCTATACTAACTCAGGCGTGGTAGCCGATGTACAAGGTTATAAAGGAAGAACCTATATTATGATAGTCTAATGTGGCTTAGTAACAAAGTCATGGACAACGCTCTTGCTCTAATGTGCTTGGATCTAATCAAGTCCTATAACATCTCTCACTCCATGTAGGATCAACTTAGATAGCAGGAGGAGAACCTCTAAATTTAAACAGGTAAGGACTCGATCCTTCTCACTGATTGAAATTTCCGACTTTTGATCTAGATTAATTCGATATAGGGCCTAGGTTAACGGTAAAAAAAAAAAGAAAAACCGACACTACAATCTTAGGACATAACGCGCACGAGTAGACTGCTTGATAGGAACTAAATAGAGAGATCACTGGCTACGTTTCTAAGTGATGAGGTGGCCTCGTTTCCTTGTACTACGTGCCCCGCCAGCATATACTTGGGAAGTACCTAAAGTCAAGACCGACGAGGTCACATCATCCCATTGAAAGATAAGTAAAATGCCAGATTCTAAGCTACAGTGGTAAGGTAAGAGCTAGTTTATTCTCGAGCCTAATTAGCCAAGGTACTAACAAGGGTCACTCACCAGTGGCTAACCATTTTTGGGCTGGAGTAGACCGTCTTCGTCTTGGGTCACCCAGCGATTCGTCGCTTTCACAATGAGAAGCTTTCTGCCAGTTCCAAGAATATCAAGGATTTATTGGTATCATGCATGCATAGTATATTTGCTGTATTTCAACAAATGAATTTGCCAATACCCGAGTCTGTGTCTCACTGGTTGCCCTCGCGGCTCCATCAAGTGCCGTGAACTGCCTCACAGCTAGTCCCTCTTCATGAATATAGCCGGTCTAGAGTATAGTATAACCAGTTAAATCTATGACCAATGTCGTGTTGGTGTTTTTAAGGCTGTTCCTAGGTAGTGTTGTAGCTTTGGTTTCGACTTGTTGCCAAGGCTGGGATTAGGTGGAATTAAGGGGAATGAGGATTGGAATGTTGAGCAAGAGTAAGAATCTCAAGAGTAAGAATCTCAGTGGTTATAAGTTGAGGTCTTGGGTCTTGTAGAGAACAAAATATACTGTCATTAAGAGATCATGGAGAGAAGTTTGGTGATCAAAAAGGTCTTGGCACATCATCGAACTTCTCCACCTCATTTCTCTCCGCAACTCTCCTTCCTTTCTCCAACACCTCTTCTCCAAGATGCCACGCGCCGTCCGAGGTCAGCTACCCCCTTTTTTTTTCTTGCCTTTCGGATGTCTTGCTAACAACATTTATCCTTCGCAGGTTTGCTGATCGAATGCGATCCTTCGATCAAATCCATGATCCTGAAGTATGACGAAGAGCGACATGACTATATAGTGGAGGATTTGGATGATGAGAACCACCTGGTCATCAAGGAGAGCCAGCTACAGAACCTCAAGGTTCGCCTTGATCAGGTATCCACTACACCCTAGCTCTTGAAGGGCTACTCAAGGATTATTGCTCACAGATTTGGCAGGACCTTGACGAAAAAATCATGCAGCTAGATGAATCTGAATCTGAATAGGGATCGAACGAGCTATTTAGCACCGAACGCAAGGCCTACACACACGACGGAAAGCCAATTGGTCCTCATATTCCAAGTCCACAATGTACTTGCGGAAAACTGTCATTGGTGTGCCCATCTCCCACCGCTTGTTACAAAAGATCGCACCAAGGCTTCACTGGTATTCAGTGGCTGAATGCAGTCCGACCACCTCGCTCAATCGTCCTTTCCCTGACCGATGAGTACCTGGCCACTTTGCAGGGAGAACACTTTCAATGATAACGTGGGGACTGCGCTCCGGCAGTGGAAGGAATGATTGAGACTGCACAACTCGAGGCTTGTCAGACTTCACCATGCTGTGTATCCCAACTCCAGGCCGTTTTGGCGAGTCTGTACCCTTGCAATAAATCAAAGGCATGTGACATGATCGAATATTTGCGACGCACATCAACCAAAGCAGCGGAGAAATCCTTCCTCCGGCAAGGATAACCACAGGCAACACTGTATTGTAGCATGTCACTCTCCAATAACCTTGGAAGACACCGTGGGCACATGCACTGTAGTCAGACAATTGCGCCTTTATTGCATAAGGTAACAGTCACGACATTCATCGACTGGATGCCAACGACAGGTTACACTGGAAGTAGCGACGGTCTTTGTGTGTTGTATTTCTGTGCCATGGCACATTCAGGTTTCCAGTGCATTATGGCTATATAAATTCCTCAAGGATCACTCGACACAGCCTGCACATACCAGCTTACAGTATTAAATATCTTCTCTCGAGTTACTCAACATCCAACATGTCTTTTCTCCGTGCCAGCTTCCCTGGCTCTGGCGATTTCGCCCCTCTTTTCCGTCTCCTTGACGACTACGATGACCACCGCTCTTCCCGCAACCAGTCCGCGGTTCGCTCGTTCTCTCCCCGCTTTGACATTCGTGAGAGTGAAGAGGCATACCATTTTGATGGCGAACTGCCTGGCATCGATCAAAAAGACATCGATATCGAGTTCTCCGACCCCCAGACTCTGCTTGTCAAGGGCCGCACTGAGCGCGAGTATCACAACTCCTATCCACCAGCCGAGGCCGAGGAAGGCAAGGAGACCGACAAAACCAAGTTCACTCACCGGTTCTGGGCCAGCGAGCGCTCAGTCGGCGAGTTCCAGCGAGTCTTCTCCTTCCCGACCTCTGTCGATCAGCACAATGTCAAAGCCAGTCTGAAACACGGTATCCTGTCCATTGAGGTGCCCAAGGCCTCTGCCGCTACTTCCAAGAAGATCACAATTGAGTGAACCGCCATTTCCTTCACGTCCACACAGATTCCACCATGATTTTGTATGGAACTTGAACTTATTTCGTTTTTGCGAAAATTTTCCACCGACTCACTTCTAATGTATGCCATATTGTTTTCCTAATTTAGGCTGGATAATTTCATGATCCGGGGCCTCGACACATGCAAATCAGTAATTTAATGAATATTGAGTTATATAATATTCCGAAACTGGAGCTATTCCTGGAATTGCGCTTAAGAAAACCAGACCATATATCATTCAGGACGTCTTACAGTATCTCAAGGTATTCAGAGTTGTCATTTGGTTGTTTATCACGTTCTTTCCAAGTGCCGAGGTCCCCCGCAGAGCAACAACAGCCCTTTTGTACTCCAAACTATCCCTCTCCCTCTCCCTCTTCCTCTCCCTCTCCCTGTCCAGAAACAGTTACATTTCTCAAAAGATGACTGACAACTACTCTTTTGAATTTTTTACCGTACACCTTCCCCCCGATCATCAACATTTAGCCCATGTGGAAATCAATCGTCCAGAAAGGTTGAATGCCTTCATCGAAGTGTGAGCGCTAGATCTCTCCTGACTTTTGACCAGATCATCTAAAAAAAATTAAAATTCTAAATTCAGTATGTGGGAAAATATGGCCCAGATCTTCAACAAGCTCTCCTCAGATCCTCGCGTTCGCGCAGTCGTCCTCAGCGGTGCCGGAGAGAAGGCATTCACCACCGGGCTGGATATGAAAGCGGCTTCAGAACTTCTTCTGTCGTCAGATGCTAAGGCCGACCCAGCTCGAAAGGCAGCCGTTTTGCGTCGCTATCTCACTGCCTTCCAGGACTGCATCACGGCAGTAGAGCGTTGTGAAAAGCCCGTCATCGTTGCTCTTCATGGATTCTCACTGGGACTCGGCATTGACCTATCAACGGCGACGGACGTGCGTCTCTGTGCCCGAGACACCCGCTTTGGAGTCAAGGAGGTTGATATCGGGATTGCAGCAGACATCGGTACCCTCAGCCGACTCCCCAAGGTGGTCGGAAATTACGGGTGGGTAAAGGAAGTCGCTCTGACAGCGCGCGAGTTTGACGCGGAGGAGGCGCTGCGGGTGGGATTCGTTAATGCGGTGTACGACAATCGTGAAGCCACCATTGCGGCCGCATTCAAGCTCGCCTCCTTGATAGCCAGCAAAAGCCCCGTGGCCGTGCAAGGCACCAAGGAGATCTTGAACTTCTCACGCGACCACTCAGTGCAAGATGGACTGCGTTATACGAGCGTATGGAATAGCACTGCTTTGCAGACTCAGGATATCTCGGCAGCTCTGCTGTCTGGGTTGCAAAAGCGTACTCCAACATTCGAGAAACTGTAAATCGACTATTCCCACTGTATATATTTCAAATAGTTAAAAAGGGTCCTAAAGATTTCTCAAATTCTAACCAAAACCACCTGTATTTTCGCCAAGGAATGTCATCATCGCCACATCGACCGTGCTCAGCTATATACGGAGTATATCCGCACATATCATCTGTTTTAGGACAAATTTCCGACGTCTTACCCCCCATCCTTATGCACTGTTTCAATTCCGTGTACGGAGTACTCCGACCTTTTTATTCTGATGAGTTTCCATGAATCAGAAGCCGACGATCAACGGGTCTCCACATTCCAGCCCTCGGCATGTTTCATATGGCTTTTCTCCGAAACGCCATGAAACTCGACAACTGCGCAAGATCTACACCCCACTGAGGGTGTCAATTTTCCCACGTATCGAAGCTGATGCTTCACATGGCTTGAAGATATATAATCTCGAAGAATCTGCTGATTGCACAGAGAAACACTGACCGAGCCTTTTTCACTCGGAACTTGTTCTGTATTCCTTCACCATGAAATCGGCTCTTCTTCTCTCCGCGCTCATCCCTAGTGTGCTGGGTGCAACCATCTACTTTGCTGGTGACTCGACTATGGCAAAGGGGGGGAATGGAGCTCGCACTGCGGGTATGTCTGTCCTCTTGAGGCCTCCAGGATAGCATCTTGCTAATACTTCCAGGGTGGGGCGAATATGTTACGCCCTATACCTCACTCACCGTCTCCAATCAAGCTGTCGCCGGCCGTAGCGCAAGGTCATATACACGTGAGGGTCGGTTTGATACCATCGCCGCAGTAGTTCAGTCTGGAGATTGGGTGGTCATCGAGTTCGGGCACAACGACGGTGGCTCTTTGACTCCCACCGACAATGGACGTACCGATTGTTCTGGCACAGGCAGCGAGATTTGTAGTACAACCTACAATGGGGTCGCCGAGACAGTGTTGACATTCCCGGCATATATAGAGAATGCCACCAAGGCGTTCAAGGCCAAGGGCGCGAATGTAATCATCTCGAGTCAAACACCCAACAACCCCTGGGAAAGTGGAACTTTCATTTATAGCCCGTCGCGTTTTGTGGGCTATGCGCAGCTAGCCGCGGCGGCGGCCGGCGTACCCTATGTTGACCATGGGGCTTATGTGGCAGACCGGTTCCAGACTCTCGGCCTGACTGCCGTCGATGCGTACTTCCCCTTGGACCACACGCATACCAGTGGAGCCGGTGCATTGGTGGTGGCTCAGGCCTTTTTCAAGGCTGTGGTCTGTGGGGATGTTGCGCTGAATAGTTCTCTCAGCACCACCGATTTCCCTGGCTCGTGTCTCTAGACGCGTGGACGACATCGCTAAGATCATCGATGCACCCTGGGGCATTTCAGGCCGTGTTAGATCTGCCCCAAAAGGAATGATGCTTTTTTTTCTCAGATAACGCGCTCAGCTAGAACGTTGGTCAACCCATACGAATCATAGTCTCCGGGGAGATTAGTATCCAAAGTAAAATGGAAGTGATTGACATGACGCAGCTGTCATCTTTTAACAAGATTGGAGATGCCCTCGGTGGACGGGGATACTGTTGTAGCAAGCCAGCGCAATGAACCAGTGCACAGTCGATTAATGTATGAGGAAGTGCTATGAGAGATTGAAAAATCTTCAACATAAAACATCCCTGTGTAGGGATGGTCCTCACCACTGCCATGCAGGTGCTATGCAACTCTCCTATACACCGTTGGTCTGAATGGCGTAGAGGTTTGCGATTCTCTCTCATCAAACGGTATCATGGTCATGTATCAACTCAGCTCAGAAAATCCTTTTGACCCTTCAACGCTTTCGCTAAAATTTCCGGATACCACCGCTGTCCAACATCTTGGTGACTGGTCACTCGAGCAATGAAGGTGCCCTGGCCAATACTCCCACGGAAGATTTCGTTAAAAGTTGCCTCGGCATCCGATTGGACCTGGTCATTTTTCACCAAGTCACGAATCTGAGCTGGGATTTTCAAAGAGATCGTATCGGCCGACAGGTCCAGACTCACTCCCTGGAAGACCGGGAAGGAAAATCTAGGTCCTAGAGAGCCCGCAATGTCTTGAAAGTTCTCCGGCCGTAAGCTTACGCGGTGAGTGGTCGCCGTGCAGATCCCCCCCCGTCAGGGCCTCTAAGGACCGGCCAATGTTAATAACCAACGTTCCCGGTAGTGGCGGAGCAGGAATCCATGTCCCGGTTTTGTTTTGGACCTCGAGACCATGGTGAGGGGTGCCCTGCAAAAGGAACGTGAGGAATCCGGAATCTTTATGAGGACCAACCCCTTGAAATTCGGCATTGCTAGTTCCAGGTGGGGGAGGGTATTTGATCAACTTCAGCTTGTGTTGCTGCGGGCTGTCAAAAGCCGGATCGAATGCAGTTGACGGGAGTTCTAACGCCTCTGCGATCAAGCCTGGGAATGACTCTGCTAGGTTGCTCACTTCCGACAGATATGCGTCGAATGATTCACGAAATCCAGGGATTGCCGTTTCATCCGGCCACTAACATGATCAGTCTTGACAGATACAAAAGATATTCCGATCTTACCTGGTTAGGACCCACCACATTCCTATACAAAGGCTCGTCTGGACCAGGTGCAGGGAGCTCGGTTGCAAACTGACCAGGGGTGTTAAAAAAAAAATCTTCCGAAAAAAAAAAGGGAGAATCAAAGTAAACTCCAACGATAGAGCCCCAGCGCTTACATCGAATTGTTCACGATAATCAGGCTGCAACGCCGTAATTTCTGCACCAAGCCTTGAGTAGCCCAGAAAATGCGGACTATTGACCATCTCGATCTCAAGCCTTTTTTCAAGTGGTAGTTCAAAAAGACCTAGGGCCTTTTCTATGAATTGTTCTTGGGTTTGAACCGAAATTGGGGCATTTCGAAGATAAAAAAACCCAACATTCACAAGGGCCTCGCGAAGGCTTGCTAGAAAGGTGGGTTTAGATGGGGATTGGGCCTGAGAGAAATCCAGAACAGGGATTGACGTGAAAGTTGAACTCGACTACCAAGATTAGCGGGGATTCCAAGGAGCGAAATGACAGATCCTACCATTTTGAAATCAACACAGTTCCAGATGAAGCTGCAAAGTTGAAACAAATAAGAAATAACCCATGCCAAGGTCCTTTGATTGGACGATGATGGCGAATGTGGTTCTGATCGAACCCCGCTCTCGAGTACAGTCGGAAACACCTTTGAAGGAAGAAGATGCGGAGTTGTAGATTCTGGTGAGCGGAGAAGGGTTCCTACCTCCTTCAGATAGATTGACCATGTTTGATTGAAAGACAAACCCTCTCGGCATGCTCTCATGGTCTTCGATGATATCGGAATCCAACACGGCCTTTTTCTCGGTAAATGGACTTTAAATGGACAAGGTGTCATTGAAATACACCAAGGTCTAGCTTGCGATCTACTCTTCTTGCTTGCGTTATACCGTTGGTCAAATGATTGTCAATTCCAGATTTCTCTCAACTCCCTGATTTGATGCAATCACTATCTCATTGAATGAGCCCCCGCCCCTCGACTTTTGACAGCGTTCCTTCTTGCTATACATCAAAACAGGCCCCCAGTTGTCAGTAATCTTCAATGGTAAAATCGGAAATGAGATATGCTGCCCAAGGCCTCCCAGATGCCCGAATTGACCGATCGGGTTGCTGCTCAAATGGAAGCATATACGACGGAGCAGACCAAGTTGACGTGGTTGACTTGGAGCTGATTCCAAAATGTAAGGTGTGTTTGATATTGGTAGTAAACCGATCACCTTGAGACAGCTAATGGTAGTTGACCCTGTCTGGCTGGATTATGGATCAAGAGTCTTCCAAAATCGATCCCTTATCCCACGCAGATAGTACCCGCGCTTGATACCCATATAAAAGGGTGGAGCGTCTTTCACCAAGTTGGATGAAGGAAAATACGGAGGTGGTGGCTTCAGCGTCTTTGGGAACAGTTCCCGGGGAGCCTGGTACTCTGGAGGAGAGGTAGCAGTGGGAAGGGGTGTCGTCATAGGGATTTGAAAATGAGGATCAAAGTTAAGGAGGATCAGAGCTTGTTGATGGGGGGGAAGTCCAGGGGCGTCAATCGAATAGATGATGGAGCGTTCGTCGGCAATACTTTTCACAGATCCAGTGCGCGGACTTGGACAAAGCAACTCTTGTAATGCAGGCGGGGCGTCATCTGGAGGCCACATACGCACACCACGACACTCAAAGCGTTCTTCGGAGCCTTCAATGGGTAAGCCATCTGGGCCTACCTGGGTGGGTTGGAACAATCGATTGCGAGGTCCCTCAATTCCCTCCTCGTCAATAGGACCTTTGCGCTTGCGCGACACCGTACGCAACCGGATCCTATCTCGGGATCGTAAACTGTTACCGGTGGGGTCGTTCACAATGTCAACAAAGGCGGATGCACCGAGGTGGTAGCTCCGGTGCTTGGTGCGAGCTGCAATGAACTCCTGCCGTTTGGTAGAGCCAGACTCATACTCGGCATGGTAATTCCGCCGCAACCTCTTTGCAGGTCGCTCATAGTAGGGGTGCTCGTTCTCCAGGTCATCATCCATCGACACCCCGGAGGGATTGTCACCAGTGCCGCCTGAAAGGGGTGCTAGAGCTTCTTCTGGCGTGGGGAGTCGCTGTGTGTAGCATGTACGGTGATTTTCGCTCTTGCCATCGCGCCACTCACGGCGGCATTCAAGAATGACTGGCCGGCCCGTCGTCTCATCCTTGCGGATTGAAAGATCAGTCCACATCTCATTGATCGGGCCTTCTTGATGCTCTCGGCGCCACAAGCGGCCGTTCCATTTGCGGCCGTCTTCGCGAGGAGCGTAGCAGAACCAATGGTAAAAAGAGGAGTGTACTTCATTATCGACGACCCGCTGGGTCGAAACTGCATAGAGATGTTCATCATGTATCTCAAAACACAGTGTTTGGCCAAGATCGCCATCGACCACGCGGTCGAGCGAGACGTCAATCGATAGAGACGATTCGAGATCCACCCCAGTGATAGACCACACACCATCCGAACCATCGGTGGAGCTAAAGGTGCCATACCACATGTAGGATCCGCAGTGCCGTACAAAAATGGGGGCCGATGCTGGGATTTCCCCATGGAGCAGGAACCGTCCCTGGTGAGTTTTCCGCCACGCCAAATTGACCACGAGCAAGGCGTCCTCGGTCGCATTTAGATCGGCCACTCGAAAGACGAGAATATTGTCGCAGTAGTTCAAGAGCGTCACCCGATCTTCAGCTCCCGGCTCTACGGGGCCAGTTGGCGGCAGTCGAGGGATCACCTCGCGGAGGTCCAGAACACGCTCCCTGAACGCAGTACCATGCACGTCCAGCACCCGAATCCAATAGTCGGAACGGTAGCACAAATAGCCTTGGTTGTAAAGAAACTCAGCCCCATAGCCTAGGCAAACCACCGAGTATGGATCTGCCGTGGCGACCGCCTCGTGAATAGCCAGCCGATGCCCGACAGCTTTTCGAAACCCCGAATGGGCTGCCAGAGCAGCTTGACCTTCTTTGCTGTAAGGTAGAACATTCTGTAACCTGGGATCAACCTTGTGTATTCCCGCAAGGGGCGATGTGGGCCTACCTCGACGGTTTTGCGGGCAATCTGTTCGCTTTGCGATAGAGAATAGAGAGTACGATTGGTGCGACTGAGGTTTACCAAATCACGGTCATCCAGCGAGGTCGCGATCTGATAAAATACATCAAATGGAAGAGTATCCAAATTCCTTAGAGTCATGATTTGTTGGGGGGGGGGTTTCTTTTTTTAACCCAAAAAGGTGGACCAAGTCTGATGATTCAAGTCTCAAGAGAGTCAGAGAAAATCGGAAAAAACCAGCCCAAGTCCATCGCTCAAAAATTCCGGACCGAACAAGATTTTTAAGTTCCAAGAGAGGCGAGACTAGGTGAGGCTCAACTGTGGGAATCGTTAATTAAATCCCCCTTTACTAAAAGAGCAGAGCCTCAAGATCCGAAAAGGGCTTGGCGGGATGGAGTGGTCCTTGGGAACTCCATCCGTCCAAGATTGAGGCCACAAAGTGAAGAATACGATCACAGGGCTTAGATCCTTGCGTTTTTATCTCTCGGCTCTACTCCGTCGTTCTCTACGACATTCATTGATCATTGATCTCTGGACTGAGGAACTGGTTAGATGTACAATCCGGATGGCTTACATCAGACCCTAGCACCGCTCACGAACCCAAAAGATCACCAGGACAGACCATCTACCGTTTTGAGTTGTCATCGCGGCATTATACGGGAGTAAATTAGGCCCCTCATTCAGTCCTTGGGGGCCATAGGGTGGGGTCCGCTATCCTCAGTGGAGTCGTTATAGAAGCACGAAGATGGACTTTCCCAGTGTTTCAAACATCAGAGACCAAACTCGAGCAGCGCAGGGCACCAGCCAATCTCATGCCCTCTTTGACTAAGCGGTGAGATGATCAGATGACTCTCATGGACCAAGTGTCGAACAACTGGCAGCCTCAGGGTTCTTTGTTTACTTTCTGATAGAATACCTTTCATCTGATGGAGTCAGTACCGGGAGTTTGAATTAGTGGGATTTACCTATAGTCCTGATGATGGATCACAAGATTCCCATCTGTGTCCGTTCTAGACTCCAAAGACTCCAAAGACTCCAAGTGCCCGGGCACCAGGGAAGGTGTAAAGGTCCGATTTGCGTGACCCACCCCAGTCAGCCGAAATCCTTTTAAACGGCTCAATTTCTCACCTTTTTTTGTTTTCTTCCCTGGTCGTCGCAAAAAAAAAGTCACATCGTGTTGAAAAAGATGTATTATCCTCCTCCAGATCCTCCTCCAGGACAAGGGTCACCCCCATGGGGAGGATATCAACCTCCCCAATGGCAACCCCCACCTCAGCCCTATCCTCAGCCCTACGGTTATCATCTCCAATCATCGTATCCAGGCCCAAGCCATTCCCCCTACCCGCCATCGCCTTATCCACAATTTCCTCAGTATCCCCAGTATCCCCAGTATCCCCAGTATCCCCAGTATCCCCAGTATCCTCCCTCTGCTACCCCACCGTATGGTCCCCCCTCTCGTCCTCCCTCCCACCAGCATACCCTGATTGCCCCGCAAAATGGTAACAATTCTTTTGACATGGCCAAGAAACGTTTGCAACGGCACCACTGACCATCGAACAGGATTTTCTCGTGCACATTCCCCGAATCTGCCCCCAACCCCACCCCAGAATTTCCAGCAATTCGGTGGAGGGGCTCCCTCAAGCTACAGATTCCAGTACTCGGCTTGTACCGGTCGCCGCCGGGCTCTGCTAATCGGAATCAACTATGCAGGACAGCCGAATGCACTAAAAGGCTGTATCAACGACGTCACTAACATGTCCAACTTCCTGACCCAGAGATTCGGGTACAAGCGGGAGGACATGGTCATTCTCACCGATGACCAACGAAACCCAATGAGCCTCCCCACCAAGGCCAACATTCTACGTGCCATGCAGTGGCTCGTGAAAGATGCCCACCCGAACGATTCCTTGTTCATCCACTTCTCCGGCCATGGAGGTCGTACTCCCGATCTAGATGGAGACGAGGACGATGGATTTGACGATGTCATCTACCCATTGGATTACCGCCAAGCCGGTCACATTGTTGACGATGAAATGCATGCCATTATGGTGCGCCCACTGCGGCCCGGAGTGCGATTGACGGCGATTTTCGATTCATGTCACTCGGGCACTGCGTTGGATCTGCCGTACGTCTACTCGACGCAGGGCGTTCTCAAGGAGCCCAACCTGGCCAAGGAGGCAGCCCAGGACTTGTTCAGTGCATTCACTTCGTATGGACAAGGCGATTTCTCCAGCGTCGCCTCCACGGCCATCGGGTTCTTCAAAAAGGCAGTCAATGGTGAGTCGGCCCGGGAGCGCACAATCATGACCAAGACCTCTCCGGCCGACGTTGTGATGTTCTCAGGGTCCAAGGACACACAAACCTCGTGAGTGGTGTAGCTTTAAACCCATTCCATCCGAATTCAAACTAAACCCGAACCAGAGCGGATACCTTCCAGGACGGACAGGCGCGTGGTGCACTGAGTTGGGCGTTTATTAAATCCCTGCAACAGTGGCCACAACAGAGTTATCGGCAGCTACTGAACACGATCCGAAATGAGCTCGAGGGCAAATACTCGCAGAAGCCACAATTAAGCTGCAGCCATCCTCTTGGTAAGTTTCTTTTTGATTTGTTTTTTGATTTTTCTTTTTAGAAGGGGGGGGGGGGTTAGTCCCCAGTGCCTCAGCTGACTGGAGATCGATAGATACCAACCTACGCTTTGTGATGTAATCGGAGCGTGTTCGCCGAGACATCTGGGGTACTTATGGCACGATCGATATGGAGTAAATGCATCAGCTAAGATGACTCCGAATGGGCTCATTGGTGGCTGTGGTTCTTGTACTCCTGTGGATCTCTCTCAGCCAGGGGATGTGGTTTGGAGCAACAAATCACTGCAGAGTACTCCGTACTCTCTGTATACACCTTGGTATTTCACCTTTTACCTTCATGTATTTTCATAGTACATGTCTCAAATGTCCCATGTCTCTGAATTCGCGTCT